GTGTCGTGTCGTGCGATGCAGGTGGCCGGCGTATGCGCCGCTGGGGAATGAGGAGACGATCGAGAACGAGCTGATCGAGGTGCCCGACGGCGTGGTGGAGCTGGGCAAGCCGTCGGACTTTCCGTCGTACGGGTGGGACAACGAATACGGCCGTCGCCACGTCACCGTTCCCGCCTTCCGCGCCTCCAAATACCTCATCACCAACAAGTGCGTAGTACACGACGCGACACGCGACACGAAACGAATGGCACGACACGACACGACACGACACGACACGCGACACGAACCGAATGGCACAACACGACACGACACGACACACGCAACTCATGAAATCGTGACAGAGAGTTCTTGGCGTTCGTGGAAGCGGGCGGGTATGAGACGCAAAAGTATTGGTCCGACGAGGGCTGGCGGTGGCGCACGTTCCGCGAGGCCCGGTGTCCCACCTTCTGGGTGCCCCAGCCCGACGGCTCCTACAAGTACCCCATTGTCCCTCTTCCGTGTGTTGTGCGCGTGTCATGCGTCGTGTGTCGTGTCGTGAGCGTGTGCCGTGTCATGTGTTGATGATTTGTGTGCAGGTACCGCGCGATCTTCGCGGAGATCGAGATGCCCTGTAACTGGCCGGCCGACGTCAACCAACTCGAGGCCAAGGCCTACTGCAGCTGGAAGGGCGAGGGCTTCCGGTACTTCACGCATTCTTTTGTTCTGTATTCTTTTTTCAATGTTGTATTTTTATTTTCGTTTTCGTTTTCGTTATGTTTCATTTATGAAATGCTCACAGCAGCGAAAAACCAGGGTCATCACCGAAGCCGAGTGGCATCGTCTGCGAGGGGACACGCCGAGCGAGCTGAAGGGCCAGCCCGAAGCCGATCCCATCATGCGCAAGGAGTCGATCGGTACGACCGCACACGCACACGCACACCCCACACGCACCACCGCACGCGCGCACACACGATGGCTGACCGACGCGCTTCCCTCTTCCTAAGGGAACTACAACCTGCGGTTTTCGTCGTCGACGCCCGTAAACATGTTTGCGCCTTCGCCCATGGGCTTCCACGACGTGCACGGCAACACCTGGGAATGGGCCGAGGACGAGGCCGACGGTCTCCCCGGTTTCAAGGTGCGCACACGACCAACGACACGACACGACACGACACGACACGACACTGATGCGATGTGTGGACCGGTAGGTGCATCCGTATTACCTCGACTTCAGCACGCCCTGCTTCGATGGCCGCCACAACCTCATCATGGGCGGCTCGTGGGTCTCGACGGGAGACCAAGCGTCGGCCTACGCCCGCTATTGGTTCCGAAGGCATTTCTTCCAACACCTCGGCTTCCGATTGGTGCAAACCATCCGCCCGATCTCCCTGTACGCCACCGCACACGCACACGCACACACCGCACGCACCACCGCACACGCGCTCATCAGGTGGAATGATAGGAATTTGTATCCGATCGGGGACAATCCGCACAAGGTGACCGAGAACCGGTGGATCGACGAGAGCAACGTGTACGAGCAGAAGAAGCTGATCGAGGAGTACCTCCAGCTCCACTACGGCCGGGACGACGAGGTCCTCCCCTATCCGTTCACCGGCCTAGGCGAGCTGGCCCTTAACTTCCCGCGCAGGTGCATTATCGCAACACACCGCTTCTCGCTCGTGCGTGTTGTGTGGCGTGTGTCGTGTGTGCTCAGACACTCACCGCGCGTGTCGTGTGGTGCGTGGGGTGCGCGTGTCGTGTGCAGATGCGCGCAGGAGTTGAGCGAAGCGTTCAAAAAGTATTCGCCGAACGCGTCGGCGGCGGCCGACCGAGCGACGGCGCTCGAACTGGGCTGCGCCGTGGGCCGTGCCTCCTTCGAACTCGCCCGCACTTTTAGCTCCGGTATTGCGCCTCGCCTCGACACACACCGTCGCCTCCCATTTTTTTCCTCATGCGTGCGTGTGCGGTGATGCAGTCGTGGGTCTGGACTACAGCCGAGCGTTTGTCAACGCCGGCATCGCGCTGCAGGAGAAGGGCGTGCTGCCCTACAAGTACGCCACCGAAGGTCGGCTGCTGGCCAGCTCCACGGCGGAGGTGTCGCCCGACATCGACCGCGCGCGGGTCAACTTCATGCACGGCGACGCCTGCAGCCTGCCCAAGACCTTCGGCGCCTACGACGCCGTTCTGCTCGCCAACCTCCTCGACCGCCTGCCTGCTCCCAGGTATGAATCCAATCACGCACGCACACACACACACACACACACACGCACACACACACACACGCACACACGCACGCAAGTTTCGTTGGCTTACGCGTGTGTGGTGCGGGTGTGGCGAGTAGCAAGTGTCTGGAGGTGCTGCCGCATCTGGTGAAGCCCGGCGGTGTGATGCTCATCACCTCGCCCTACACGTGGCTCGAGCAGTTCACCCACCCCTCCAAGTGGATGGGCGGCTACCACCTCGGAGGTACGTTGTGTGTCCCATTTTCTCCTGTGTGCGTGCGTGTGCCGCGGGTGCGTGCGGTGCGTGCGTGCGCGTGTGGCATGCATATTAACATGTCTGTTTCACACCGTGGTGCAGACAAGGAAGTGCGTACGTTCGATGTTCTCAAGGAGACGCTGCAGGCCGACTTCGAGCTCCTGGAGCACAAGGACATGCCGCTGCTCATCCGTGAGCACGTGCGCAAATTCCAGCTCTGTGTCGCCCACGCCACTGTTTGGCGCCGCAAGTAGGCGCGGCGTACTGTGCAGTTCCCATATTTTCTCATAATGAAAACATTTTACCTCCAGTCACACAGCATTTTTGGTTTGAAAAGGTGTACTCCTTACGCCCGCCCAGCGTAGGGGAACTTGGTGACTTTATCTTCACTTCACTCAGGATTGCATGCAAAGCAAAGTAGGCCTCCCTATCCCTCTTAACCTGTGAGATTCAATGTTGGTGTTAGATAAGCCTGTGGACATCTGTTGTGACATACCCAGAATCAAGGACTCTGCTGTCCTGTCCAACAGAAGCAAGCTTAGAAGCATTACCAGAGGACTTCTGTTGGTGTTGGCTACCCCCTGAGGGGTCCCCCTGTGGTGGAGAAGTGTGCCAAGCAGCTCAGACAGTCTCCCCCAGCCCTTGTGGTCATGCATTAATGTTGTTTTTTAAGGGTGAAAAAAATGTTTACCAAGATTTTAAATTGGGGAAATTGGGGATTTTAGAGATCTTACCCACAATTAGCAAGCAGATGCCAGGGCACCTCGGCGGCAGCGATCAAAGCGAATTGAGTGAGGAAAGCGATTGGTTGCCTCCCGAAGGTTGTGACGAACACGCGGAGGATGAGGAACTGCTGCCGGTGGAAGATGAAAGTGAAGATGCTGATGACGCGGAAGAACAGATGACGGCTGGCACGAAGAGGAAACGAAAAAACGCCACCCCATCAGCACCGCTGAAGAAAAGGGCGCGGGTAGAAGAAAATGAAGATGAGAGCGAGGAAGATTGCGATGATGGAGCGTTCGTGTGCGTGTTTGAGGGGTGCGGCAAGAGCTTCAACCGCGAAGGCAAGCTGGCGGACCACCTACGCACCCACACCGGCGAGGTACTACACCCCCCCCGCGATTTCCAATCTTGCTGCGAAATTGAATTTCCTCCTGATTCGCGATTTTTGTAGCGACCCTTTGTATGCGGTTTCAGCGGATGCGAGAAGCGATTCACGCGCAGTCACCACCTGAAGCGCCACGAGCTGTCGCACACGGGCGCTAAGCCGCACAGATGCGACCACCCCGGCTGCGATGCCGCATTCCTCACCGCCCAGCATCTGCGACGCCACCAGCTCCAGCACCGCAAGGACAAGCCCTACGCCTGCGGCGAGCCCGGCTGCGACGCGCGCTTCGCCAAGCACGGCCAGCTGCAGCGCCACCTCTGCACCGAACACGACCACGCCTTCCCCTATCCGTGCCCCGAGCCCGGCTGCGCCAAGGGCTTCCTCCACCCCAGCCAGCTGCGCCGACACATCGAGGGCGTACACAAAGGTGTGTATCGTGTCGTGTCGTGTCGTGTCGTGTGCTATGCTCCGTGTTGCTGACAAGTGGTACGACACGACACGACACGACACGACACGACACGACACGACACGACACGACACGACACGACACGCAGGGGAGAAGCGGTACGTGTGCGGTGCGGAGGGGTGCGGCCAGGCGTTCGGAAGGCAGAGCGAGCTGGTGAAGCACCGGCGCGAGGCGCACTCGGCGGCGGCGATGGCACTGGCCGGCGACGCGAGCGCGGCGGCCGAGGGGCCGGCGACCAAGGGCGAGTTCGCGTGCAACACGTGCGGGCGCACGTTCACCCGCAAGTCGGGCCTCACGCAGCACCTCCGCATACACGAGGCTGACTCCACCCAGCCCCTCTTCACCTGCGAGAAATGCGGGTGCTCGTACACCAAGGTGCGCACACACCGCACACGCACACACAGCATGGCACGCGACACGACACGACACGCGCTGATTTGAGGTGGTGCGAGTAGAAGAGCAATCTCGCGACGCACATGAAGGTGGTGCACGACGGTTTGCGTACGTTCGTGTGCGAGGAGCCGGGCTGCGGGAAGGCCTTTGGCTACAAACACCTCCTCCAGCGCCACACGCTCGCCAAGCACTCGCCCAAGGTAACCCACCTTACAACAACTCATCATGGCCATCACGATGTGTGCGTGTGCGGTGTGTGCGATCGTGTGCTGTGTCGTGCTTCACGATGTGTGCGTGTGCGGTGTGTACTCATGATGACGGCGCCCAGGAGGAGACGGCGAAGCGACCGTCGACGAGGAAGAAGAGGAAGTTCGACGTTGTGCGCGACTTCCTGGGCGTGCAGGCTCCGCCACTCTTCAACCCGACGCCCTACGTCTTCGACTCGTCGGCGTTGGCCGACGGCGACGGTGCCCTTGCTTCCATGCCGCCGCCGCTGCGGACTGGCCCGGCCGGAGCCGACGCGGCTTCATCCTGTCTCCCTTCATCTTCCTTCTCTACACTCGGGTGAATAGTGCATTGACCTTTGCTCTCCACAACCATTGGTATCAACCATTGGTATCGATAATGATTTTGATGTGGCATTGAACGGGGGTGGCTTTGGGCAAGAAATGGGAGTAGTGGATTGGAATTTGGAGAGGGGGGGCAGTGAATTGGTGAATTGAGTGTTTATTGGCACCTGCGGAGGGCGGATGCTGGCAAGACCCGATAAAATGGACGCGCAGAGGGACCACGTCACTGTCGAACGCTTTACTGCAGGGGGGAAGCATGGGTTAGTGAAAATGATCACAGAAGTAAGTAAGATAGTGGAGGGCAATAGATGTTTGGGGGGCGGAGAATTAATTTCAAATGGCGGGTAGAAGGCAGCAAGTATGGCAGATAATTCATAGCAATGGCTGACTTACCATGTTACGGGGATATTTACTGGATCTCCTCCTCATCGGCCTCATCGACCTCGTAGAAGCCCATGTCGAAACCCTGCTCCTCGAGGGCCTTCTTGAGTCCGCCCTTGGTGAGGAGAGTGTGCGAGATGCGCGCCTCCTTCTCGGCCTGCTTGAAACGGATCTGACGCATGTTCTCATCGGCCACACGCGTCGTGTAGCTCTGCCAGCCGCCGAAGGCGGTTCCTACCACCACCGATCCGACGGTGATGACGGTGATCTGTCGGTAGAGGAACGACCTAAGAGACGCCGGCAGGTGAATTCCCTTTCCCATGCTGTTTTTACTGATCGATACTGATGTGAATGATCAATGAATCAAAAAGCACGGAGTGGGGCCGGCGGATATTGCCCAGAACAAAAAAAAAGTCGAAAAGAAAACGGGCGATTCACCAATTTTCCATCACTTTGCCCAACCGAAAAATACGCCCGATTATAGAAAGGTATTTAAAATGTGGACGTGGTCGTTGCGTCGAGTGGACAGTTGTGCACTTATCAGCGTCAAGAGAGGAAAGACTTGAGCGTGGCCGAGCCCAGAGCACTACCGTCCTCCGCGCCCAGGAAGCCGCCGAAGCCAAACTTGCGCACCTGCTCCATGAACGACCCGCCGACGACGCCCATCGACCCGTCGGCGCCGCCAGTCGCCGGTGTCGAGGCCGAGAGCAGCGGCGAGCTCGGGAGCCGGGCGCCGAACCTGTCGCCCGCGAACTGCGGCAGCTGCTGCTGGTGCTGCTGCTGATAGCCCGACGGCAGATCTAGGCCGAAGCTGCTCGCCACCGGCCCTGTGCGCGCGTGTGCGTGTGCGGTCAGCACATGCGTGTGTCGTGTTGCGTGGCGTGTTGCGTGTCGTGCGTGGCGTACCCTTTTCCTTGCCCTTGACGACGGGCTCGGTGATGGGCAGGTAGCGGAAGCGGGGCGCCGATGCCACCATCGGCAGCGTGTTGTACTGATCCCCGTGAGCGCCCTGCACCTTCCTGCAATCGCACACACATCACACGAGTTGGTATGCGTTGTGTGTGGTGTGTGTCGTGTGTGTGGTGTGTGTGGTGTGTGTCGTGTGTGTGGTGTGTGTGGTGTGTCGTGTGTGTGGTGTGTGTCGTGTGTGTGTGTGGTGCGTACACATCGGTGTAGAGCGGGTGGAGGGACACGAGGGGTCCGAGCAGGGCAGCCGATCGCGCGTAACACTGCTGCTCCATCCGATTCACGTGCGGCCCATAGAACGCCCGGTCGATCGGATCCAACTGAAAAGAAAAGAAAAGAAAGAAAGAACCAGACACAGAACGATGAGCCTCGTGCGTGCCGTGCGTGTGCGCCGTGCGTGTGGTCGCGCGTGTGCCATGTGCGCGGTCGTGCGCGTGTCGTGCGTACCAAAGTCTGGAGTTGATTGTGTATGGCCTTGATCCGGTCCTTGATGGCCGAAGGCTCCGCCAGGTCGCCAGTCGCCGAGTTGGAGGTCGCGGACTCGGCGAGTACGGCCTTGGCCAGGTCCGGGTCGGCCGCGTGCGGCGGCGAGGCCCCGGCGGCCAGCGCGTCGCAGAGGAACTTGGCGTCGAACATGAGCTGGATGGCCCCCTCCTTGCTCACCCGCTCCCGCACCTCCGCCGCATTCGCCAACCGCCAGTAGTGCCCGCACACCCTGTACCGCACACGCCGCACACACAACATCAGCGACACCGCACACGCCGTACGCCGCACACGCCGCACGTACCCGAGGAGGAGTTGGGAGGCGAGGTAGTGGAGGACGGCGTGGTCGGGCGCGTGGGCGAAGGTGCGGTGGATCTCGCGGCAGGCCGAGAAGAGGAACGACAGGACGTAGGGCGACGCCTGGTAGGGCAGGTAGAACGTCTCCTCCACCACCGTCTTCGCGCTGCCGCCCTTCGCCGCCTGGCCCTTCCCGCCTGTCCACCCGACCCGTGAGTGTCGTGCCGCGCGTGTCGTGTGTCGTGTCGTGTGCGGTGTGTGTCGTGCGACAGGTACCTTCGTCGAGAGATTCGACGGCGACGGTGATGGGCTGCCACTGCATTCGTCGCTTCTCCCGCTCGGACCAGTCGTCGGCCTGCAGCGCCTCTCCCAGTCGAGCCACTGTTCCCCGCGCATCCCAAAACGTGAGTACGTGTCGTGTGTCGTGTCGTGTCGTGTGTGTCGTTGGTCGTGTCGTGTGTCGCGTGTGTCGTGTGTGTCGTACGGAGGGTGTGAGCGAGAATGTGGACCCAACGGACGTGAGCACGCAGGGAGAGTCGCCGGAAGGTCGACTGGAGCTCCTGCAGCTTCGGGTGCAGAACATTGTCCGCCTGGCATTGTACACCACACACCACATTAAATGAATGACATAAGAATATCACATTTTACACCACAACGCCACGTCACGTTAGACCGCACACGCACACGCACACGCACACGCGCGGTGTGAGAAGCACCTCTTCGTCTTGGCTGTGCTTGAGAGCCAATCGCCGGTTGAATGCCTTGGCGGCCGTGTACGAGTAGCCCTTGCCCTTGAGCGCTCCCGCGTCCACCCCGGGTTGTGTGGTCTTGGGCAGCGCAAAGATACGTTTGAGCTGGACCGAGTGCTGCACGATGGCGCGGCACGCGCGGCCGATAAAGAGCGCCTGCTCCGTGCGCTCCTCCACACTTATCTGCTGCTGCTCCTTCCCTCCGGCCTCACTCTGCCAATAGCGCGCGTGTCGTGTCGTGTCGTGCGGTGTGAGCACTTCGTGTTGTGTGCGTGTGTCGTGCGTGTGCGGGTTGTACCTGGGCGAGGGCGGTGAGTTTGTCGTCGAGCTGGGCGAGGAGGGCCGAGAGGGCCTGGTGGCAGCTGTCCTGGAGGAACTCGCGCAGCTTGAGCTCGCGCCCGCGCTCCTTCTCCTCCCGCTCGCGCCGCCGCGCCTCCCGCTCCGCCTCCTCCTCGCTCCCCATATACCCCGCTGCCGCCGCCGTCGTCGTCGAGCCCGACCCCGCATCCGCGATCCTCCGCCTGCGCGTGCTGTACGTTCCCGACCCCGACCCCGACCCCGACCCCGACCCCGACCCCGACCCCGACCCGTGCCAATCTGTCGCGTGGCCGTGTGGTGGTGCGTTAGGTTGTGGAATGTTATGGAATGCATAGAATGTGGTGTGGATGGAAGGAAAGGAATGCGTACCGGTAGTGGTGGAGGTGGCGGTGGTGAGGTGGTGGAGGAGGTGGGCGAGGTCGAGCATGCAGGCCTCGAGCTGGTGGTCGAGGTGGCCCACGAGCTCGGAGAGCCGCGGGGTGAGCGTCGCCGCCTTCTGCCTGAGCGTGTCGAAGGCCTCCCCGCGCCGGCTCAACGGCGTCGCCGCCCCCATGCGCCCCGCCTCCACTCGCCACACGTAGTGCCCCATCGACAGATCTGCATGCATGCGTGTCGTGTCGTGTCGTGTCAGCTGAGAGGGGAGTGTGTCGTGTCGTGTCGTGTCGTGTGCGTGGACCTTCGTCGGAGCGGAGGAGGTTGAGGGCATCGGAGGAGGAGACGAGGCCGAGGTTAACGGAGCGGAACCAGAGCTGGATGACGTTGCGCGAGGCCTCGGTAAAGGCCTCGTTGAACACAAAGTCCCACACGTCCAGCCCGCGCTTGATCACCAGCCCACACACCTGCGCCCCGCACACCCCGCACCACGAAGCTCAATCAACTCCGCGTGTGTCGTGTCGTGTCGTGTCGTGTCGTGTCGTGTGGCACGCACGTGCTTCCAAATTTCCTCGGCCGAGGGGAACTTGGTCACGTCGCCCGGAACTGCGGGGAACTCCGGGTTGTCCATCGCCTGGAGCACCCGCTGGCGAATGTGGTCCAGATCCCTGCCGCCGACCCCCAAATAAGAAACATGCGCGTGTCGTCTGCGCGTGTCGTGTGGTTGATGTGTCGTGTCGTGTCGTGTGTGGTGTGTGCGGCGAGGGCGGAGGCGGTACTTGGCGAGTTTGATTTGGAGGAGGGCGTGGCGCAGGCCCCATCGCAGGCTCTCGGCGATCGAATCGAGCCACATCTTGCAGCCCCGCTCCAGATCTGCCTCCGCAATTCTGCGCAGCCCCCGATCACTCTATCGTTAGCCACCACGCCGCACACGCACACAAGGACGCTGCACACGCTCGCCGCACACGCACACAAGGACGCCGCACACGCGCATCGCACACGCACGTTTGTTGTGATGATGCGGAGGAGGAAGAGGCGGCGGTGAGGCTCGTGGTGTCGGGCGCGCGGAGGCACTGGGTGAGGAGCGAGGCCGGGAGGCCGAACGCGGTGGCGGCGAAGTGGGACGAAAACACGATGCCCAGCAGGAACAGCGCGTTCTGTACCAACCGCACCAGCCGGCACATCCGCTCCACCAAATCCTCTGTCCCCCCCCCCACAAGTCAGCGCGTGCCGTGTCATCTGCGTGTGCGGCGTGTGCGGCATTACCGAGAGGGAGGGCGTTGGAGGCGTTGGAGGAGGAGGTGTCGAAGAGGGAGAGGACGAGCGTCTTCTGGGCCTCGAGGAACACGTTGAGGGCCTGCGTCACCGACAGGTGGTCCAGCAGGACCAGCGCGCACAGCGAGCCCGCGTAGTGCTGTGATCGACCGGACACGACACGACACGACACGACACGACACGACACGACACGACACGACACGACACACAGATCCACGTTACGTGCGCGTCCGATCGTGTGTCGTGTTGCGTGTGCGTGTGCGCGTGTCGTGTCAGAAGAGGATACCTGTGGAGAGACGCCGCTCTTTTGGAGCTGTGCGCGTGCGTTCTGTCGGATCTCGCTCGGGAACTGGCTGATGAGGGACCATTGCCGCGGCATCAGCGGAATCGATTTCTGTAACACACGCGACACACCGCACACACCGCGCGGCACACGATCGATGGTACGACAACACGACACGCACAACACAGTTATAACTGAGCTTCGAGAGATAAAGCGTTAGTATGGGATCGGGAGGGAGTTACGAGGAGCTGGGCAAAGGCGGGGTTGTGGACGAGTCGCGAGTGGGCCTGCTCGGCCCGCGTGTAGAGGAGGGTGGCCTTCAGGTAGTCGTTGGCCTCCACGCTCGACCAAATCTGATGCCACGCCACACACATCAATAACGTGTCGTGTCGCGTGTTGCGTGTGTTGCGTGTGTCGTGTTGCGCGTGTGCGACAAGAACCTGTTCGGGAGCGTCGACGAGAAGCTTCACTTGAAGGGCCACGTGGTAGCGCTCTCTATGCGCCGCCCGGTTGCGCTCCTCCTCCCCGCCGCTGGCGCTGTCCGTCGCCGCGCCATTCCCTGCGCCCACCCCAATCACCATCGTTAGTAACACGACACACACGACACACGCGCGACCGCACACACGACACGCGCGCTACCGCACGCGCACGCAGCGTGGTACCGTTGGCGGCGGTGGCGGGGCCGGGCTTGCGGAGGTGGGCGAGGAGACGGGCGGTGTGGTGGTCGAGACGCTCGAAGCAGCCGGCCAGGCCCTCTGCGGCGGTCTTCATGGCGATCACCGAGTCGGCTGAGTCGATGAGGTCCCGATACCGCGTCCTGCGTGCGCGCACACACGCGCACACACGACGACACGTTAGTGACACACATGGCACACGCAACGAGCACTCGGCGCATGGCACACGCGTGGCACGTGGCGTCTACGTACCCTACGAGGCGGCGCAGTTCGTGCTTCTTCTTTTCAATCTCATCTCTTCGTTGGCGAGGGTGCAGTGTGATGACGTCAGAGAGATTTTAGAGATAAATTGAATCCACGATACTTGACCAAAAGATGGGAGAAGAAGGAAGGAGAAAGAGAATAGATTGATGGAGAGATGAAAGATGGAAGAGAAGGGGGGAGTGAAAGGGTACCTGGTGAGGTCTTCGCGCACTTTGATTTCGGCGATGGTGTGGCGTTCGAAGAGCTGTCGCACCTCCTGCTCCATGAGCGACTCTGCACTGAGAGGCGCCTTGTACATCTTCTCTGCGCCTCTTCTTCCACCAATTCACAACAAACACATCGATTTGTTTGCGTTTATTCTTTTGTTTTTTTGTTGTTGCTGACGTCACCAAAAGAACTTTTAATGAATGTAGCTTCACTCTCAGCGTTGGAGGAAGTATGGTGTATTGTATGTTCATATGATATTTACATGTTTACATGGTGGCATGGTAGCAAAAGATGTAGGTATGTACATTGGTCTCGATGGCCCATGGCTCTCTGGGTTCAGTTGGTCTCCCTGCGCTTGCGCTTGCGCTCGCCCGAGGCGATGATGGTGCACAGCCGGCGCACCACCACCCCGCCGATCCACTCGCCCTGGAACGTCTCGCCGGTGCCCGCCTGCGCGTAGAAGCCCTCGCCGTGCATCTGTCCGTCCTTGAACATGCCGCGGTAGACGTCGCCGGCCTGATGACGGCTGTCGTTGCGGTGGCCTCCGCCACCGAAGAACAGAACGCCGAGGCCGTTCTCTTTGCCATCTTTGAACGGACCCTCGTAGCGATCGCCGTTGCGTCGGAAGTAGATGCCGACCTCCATGCGGTCCTCGGTCCAGGTGCCGACGAAGCGGTCGCCCTCCCTCTCGTGGCCGACGCCCCACACGCGGACGCCCGTGCCGTGGAAGTTGTCGTTGCGGAACTCGCCCTCGTACCACCCACCGTCGGCCCAAGTGTACTAGAGGTGGGTGAAAAAGATATAAGTAACAAGTCTTTGGCCGAATATCATCATCATTATCACTGCATAGTTTGCATACCTTGCCGCGGCCGTGCATCTTGCCCTCGGCCCACTCGCCCTCGTAGTAGGAGCCATCGGCGTAGGTGTAGCGCCCGCGGCCGTGCATGTCGCCGTCGCTCCACTCGCCCTCGTACTTGTCGCCCTCCCACTTGGAGCCCTTGCCCCACACGCGGACGCCCCAGCCGTGGCGCTGCGAGTTCTGCCACTCGCCCTCGTACCACGACCCGTCGGTCCACGTGTAGCGCCCGCGCCCGTTCTTCTTGCCGTTGGCCCACTCGCCCTCGTACCAGTCGCCATCGCTCCACATGAACTTGCCCGCGCCGTCCTCCTCGCCGTCCTTCCACTCACCGTCGTACCACGAGCCGTCGGCCCACATGTACTGGATAGATACGAGAGGTGGTTGATCAGCAATCAGTGGATCTTCATCATCACCACCGTCATCATGACTGCATTGTTTGCATACCTTGCCGCGGCCGTTCTTTTCGCCGTCGCGCCACTCACCATCGTACGAGTCGCCGTCGGTCCACTTGGACAGGCCGCGCTCCTCCTTGCCCTCGCGCCACACGCCCTCGAAGTAGGAGCCGTCCGCGCCGTACCAGTAGCCCTTGCCGCTGCGCTTGCCCTCGGCCCACGTGCCCTCGTACAGGCCCCACGCCGACTCGTCCTCATCGTCTTCCTTTGTCACCACCTGCACTCCGTATCTGTGCGTAGCGAGTGAAAAAAAACTTGAGCGTTTTGTAGAAGATGCAAGATGTAGAAGATGAAGATGACGAATGGGCCCAGCTGAGCTTAGCTGAGTTCTTTTTGAGCGGGCTACGTACCCTTGGAGCTGGTCCTCTGCCCACTCGCCCTGTAGGGTGCCTCGGTTCTGGACCTTCTTCATGCCGACGCCGGTGCTCAAGGCCTTGAGCTCGACCTTGGACTTGTAGAGCCAGATCCAGTCCTTGCCGAAGGCGAGGAAGTGCTTGTTGGTGGTGGCCACAACCTGGTCGCCGTAGTGCTTGAGGCACATGTCGCGCCACAGGGTCTGGTCGTTGCCGAGGCAGTAGAAGAGCCGAGCGGCGGCCGACAGTGCGCAGACGTCCCTGGCCGAGTTCATGTGCTTGAACACCAGCGTGATGACCTCGTTGGGTAGCGGCGCGAACGCGCCCAGGTTCACATCAAGGTCCTGTTAGGGAGAGGTGCGTAAGACGATGCTGCCCGATTTGATGGCGTAGCAGAAGGGCAGTACCTCGGTTGAGCTGAACGAGGACCGGTAGGCCGACTTGACGTGCTCAGATGAGGTGAAGCTGCATCTGTTCTGATCCAACACGGCCAACATCTTTGGTGTAGCGCGATTTGTGATTTAATTTGCGTTTCGAGATTGAGCGATTTGAACGATGATTCGGTCGCGCTCGTCGTGTCTGTTGGGTTCAGGGCTGGAGAATCGAATGATGAACAACGTTGGCGCCTTCTTCTTCTTCTATGCTGTTGTGTGGAGTGAGACCTCTACATGGCGGCCGTGGTGGGCCACCAGGTTGGGACTGAGCTACGCCGCAGGAGAAAAGCCGAACATGCCACCTCTTTCCGCCGATTTCAGCCTAGATTTCCCACGAAAGGACTACAGCGCAAGTCTTTGAATTCCGGTTGGCCAATTTAAAGTGCCCACTCAAAGTGTGCAGCTTGCCGCAGCGGGCGATGAGGTGCCTGTGCGGGTTCATTCTGCCTTGGTCCCGCGAAATATCATGGTCCTGACCGCCCTGTTGGTCTTGTCTCATCAGTTGATGGATTGGCGATACCTGAAGTAATCCTTGAGGATGGGAACGATGCTGCTTGTGGCAGAGTAGGTGTTCACCACAGGTTTTCCAAGCCCTGCCTCCCTTTCCTTCATCTCTCCTGGGTCACTGGAGCCGCACGCACACCGCTTGTGTGGTTGTGGAGGAGAAGAAGATATGAATGACAATTCTTCTTTTACGCCTGGCTGAAATTGTGGCGTCGCAAACATCAACACCAACATCAACACACCATCACGCTCATCTCTCGCCCTCGGTAGAAGTGGTCTGGTTCTGCTGCGAGGCCGTGCTGTTCTGCACAAACTCGAGCACTGTACACGACGAAGAAGAAAAAGAAGAGAACATGCAGATGCGGTTAGGGAAAGAACATGAGCGACGTGGGAAGGGGAGAGGTTGGGCCGCGGCGTACCCAGATGTCTGCCGTAGAGATGAGTGTCCTGCAGGCTCTGGAAGGCGTTCTTGGCCTCCTGCTTCGTGATGAAGTCCACGAACGCGAAACCGCGGGCGCGGCCGTCCATCTTCTTCGGCACTCGCACGCTCTTGAGCTGCCCGAACGTCCTGTTGTGTGCCACAATCATCGCCAACATTAGCACACGACACACGCACGCACGCACGCGTCGCACGACACGACACACGACACAAAGGAATGCGTACGCAAAGAGCTCACGGATTTCGGCCTTGGTGGCCTCGAAGGCGACGTTCTTGACGAGGATGGTGCAGGTGGGCTTCATCTGGGTGCCCTGCGCGGCCTTGCGCTTGTTGCTCTGCTGCTTGGTGTCGGCCTTGCGCCCGCCCTTGGCAAAGGTGATCTCCAGCGCGTGGTTGTCGAGCTGCTTGCCCTGCAGCTGCTTGATGGCCTTGAGCGCGCCGTCGCGCTTGACGAACTCGACGAAGCCGTAGCCCAGCGAGATCATCTGGCCGCCCTTCTTGACGTCCTTCCGCTTGGCCACCGTCACGCTTCGCACCGGCGCCACCTTCTCGAACATCGTCCGCAGGCCGTCGTCCGTCGTCTTGAAGTTGAGGTTCTTCACGTAGAGCGTCGTGCCCTCCAGCCGCTCCATTTCCTCGGCCTCCAGCAGCTTGCTCTTGTCTGCATTCACCACCACCATCGTGTTAACACCGCACACGGCACGACACTGCACGACACGCACCACCGCACACGCACCTGTGACGGTGGTCTTGATCGGGGCGTCGTCGTCGTCATCGTCGTCGGCGTCTTCGAGCGATTCGGGCTTGTCGGGCTTCTGACCGATGATGGCGAGCGGCGCCCACTCGAGATAGAGCGGCACGTGGTGGAACTTGGTGTAGGCCAGGTTCTTGAACCCGCGCCGCGCCTCGCTCGGCTCCAGGTACTCGATCAGCGCCAGGGTACGCGCCGGCGGCAGGATTACCTACAACGAATCGCCGTCATCGTCATCAGCACGTGTTGTGTCGTGTCGTGTCGTGTCGTGTACCCTGGAGACGCTGCCGAATTTGGAGAACATGTCGCGGAGCTCTTCGAGCTTGGTCTGGTGGGGGATGTTCTTGACCAGGATCATCGTCTTGCTTCGTTCCACCTTGCCCTCGGCCGCCATGATCGCCGTAATCCCCTCCATGTTGATCCCCTCCTACAAATACATGACGAAACCAACAATAAAAGAGAGAATATGTAAAACAATTATTACAATAACATAACATCATAACATAACATTAATATAAATAGAATGGAGGCGTACATTCTTGAGGTAGGCCTTGGTCTCGCTGATGATGCGGGTCTCGGCAATGGCCACTCGCGTGGACATGTTGCCGTCCTCGGGGTTGAGGATCTCCTGCTTCGTCACGCCCAGATTGGCTGCCACCGCATCCAACACCGCGTCCGTCTGCGTGTCGTGTCGTTGGTTGTGTGCGTGTCGCTCCCGGTCAGCCACGCCGCACACAACACGCGCACAACAGCACAACAGCACACACACACACACACACACACACACAGCAGGCGCACACACCTTCATGAAGAAGGGATTCCAGTTGTGGGAAGACGAGCTGGACTCCTTGAGTTTCTGCTCCTTCTTCTTGCGGAACGACGTCGCCTCCCCGTCGTCCTTCTCCGGGGCCGGTCGCACAGGCGCCATCTTGGCCGGCATAATATGCAGCAGACGACCCTATAATAGCAACCAAGTCAGCGTGTGCCATGTCGTGTGGTGTCGTGTCGCATGCCTCGTGTGCGGTGCGTGTCGTGTCATGCGGCGTGTGCGGTGCGTTTTACCTGGAAAATGGAGCCGTCGAGGGCGGCGTGGGCCTGGGCGGCGACCTCGGGCAGCATGAAGGTGACATAGGCCATGCCGCGCGGCTTCTTGGTCTCCCTGTCGATCGGGATGTGCACCTCGGAGATGTCGCCGTGCTTCTTGAAGAGCTTGTAGAGGTCGTCCTCCGACGCCGAGAACGGCAGGTTGCGCACGAACAGCCGCCCCGTGTCATCCTGCTCCTCCACCTGCTCCTCTTCTTTCTTCTCTTCCTCTTTCTCTTCCTTTTCGTTCTTCTTCTCTTTCTTCTCTTTCTTCTCTGTCTTTACCTTCTTTTCCTTTTTCTCCGTTACTTCATCTTCATCGTCTTCTTCTTCATCGTCATCGTCTTCGTCGTCCTTGCTCTGAACATTGTCATCGTCGTCATCGTCTCCATCGTCGTCGTCGTTATTCTCTAATCGCATGAGATCGCCGACGGAGATGGTCGGCAGGGCCTCGCCGCCCGGTGCGGCATCGACAGCAGCAGCCGCCGCGGGCATGTCCTCGTACATCTCGTCGCTGTCGGACCCGTCCGAATCGCCAAACTTGAGGTGCGTCTTCTTCATGAGCTGGCCCTCGCCGCCGGTCTTCCTGTTGCGCACGGCCAGCACCACCTCCTTCACCGTCTCGCCCTCCTCCAGCTTCCTCTTCTTCACCTGCAGTCCATTCAAAAGAAAAAGAAAAAAAGAAAGAAAAAGAAGTCAATGTTTTGTTTTATAATAATTATAATAAGAAATGCAAAAATATAATAATATTTTTATAAATGCGACAATAATAAAGAAGGCGGCACCTGCTTGACGACGGGCTGCTTGGATGCGAGCTCGGTGCCGGGCGTGGGCAGCAGGAGATCGTTGGCCCACACCTTGCGCGCGTCCGCCGATTGCCTGGACTTGGACGACGACAAGAAGTCCTGCGCAGTTCATTCATCCACGATGAGTTATTATCAAGCACTTAAAATAATAATAATAATAATAATAACAACAATAATAATAATAAAAATTCCGGGCAAGCGCACCGTGAGCAGCTGTGGGTCGCTCTTGGCGAGCTCCTCCTTGACGTCGAGGATGTCCTTCCACTTCCTCTTTCGGTCCAGCGCCTTCTCCTTCTTCTCCTCCACCTCCTTCTTCTTTTGCTCTGTTGTGTGCGTGCGTGTGTGTGCGGTGGTGCGTGTGCGGTGGTGCGTGTAAGTAACGATTGGCCATTTCTCGAGTGGCGGAGGAGAGACGGAAACCAACCTTTCTGCTCGTGGAGCGAGCTGCCCTTGGAGTACTTACTCCACGGACGCGGCAGCGCAGTGTCGCCCACCTGCAGGTGCGCACGCGAGGTGGACGGCGTGAGCAGAAGAAAGGGCAAAAAACACCGAAAAAGCGAAAAAGTCACGGTATACCCGTGACGTACCGGGCGAGCCATCTCGACGCTGATCTTGGATGTGTCGATGAAGGTGTTGTTGAAGAAGTTCATGGCGGCCTTAGCCTCCTTCTCCGTCCGGAAGCCGATGAAACCAAACAATCGCGATCTCCCATCGCTGTGATGCGCGATTTGAATAAATAATTGCAGAAAAATCACAAAAGCGTTTGAGATGGCGTACGCGGTCTTCATGATTTTGACATCGGTGACCTCGCCCCTTTGCCCAAAGTGCTGACGGAGTCGGTCCTCCTTCATGTGCTTGGGAATGTTCTTCACGCAAAGGCGTGATGTCGGTGCAGACCTGGTCGATGCCAGTGACATATAAGCCGAAATCGCGAGATGAGATTAAATCAAAAAGTAAAACGGTTGCGTACATGTTGGGTTTATGCTGCTTGTGCGATGGTTCGGGCGAGGCTTGTGAAGGGAACGACATCACGCGCTCTCTCTACTCCTGCAGAAGTCAGAATGCCAAATGGACACAACGTTGCGATTCCACTTTTCTTCTCTGTCCTACGAGAAAAGAAAAAAAGAAAAAATGAAGCCGAAATAAATAAAGGATAAATTATTGCCATAATCCAGCAAAAGGTGAGGTGCGCTGATTGGAAGGACCCGATTGCAGAAGAGAGACAGCACAGTTCAACATGTTGGCGCACTTGGCATCGCTTGTGGAGCAGGACGCGTGGGAGCACACATGGGAAGACGAAGATGACGATGAGCCCCAGCAGCCCATCCCCGCCCCCATTTTCCAGGCACTTCATCCCCCCCTTTCATCCTTCAGCCTTGCTTTAGCCACGCACTACTTGCCCAAAATCACAAGATCATGCATGTGGCGCTACACGCAAATGCAGATTTTAACTGTACACACTAAAAAAACAGGTGGAAGGCAGCGTAGCACTGCCCTCTTCGGGTGTGCGACAGCTGATCGTGGGGCTCTACGGGGCCGGCTCTGCCTTCGTCAGCTGTGCCTTTGCCGACCGTCTGCAGTCGCCTGCAGCGCGTGTCGTGCTGCCTCCCGCCGTACTTGCTACCCCTGTGCCCTATTCGCTCGCGAGCGAGTGCGGACCCTCTCACACGAAGCTTCGTTTCGGGCGCGCAGAAGGAAGGAGGCAAGAGCGAGGACGTGGCGACGGTGCATCAAGTGGACGATGCCACCCTTCTCGTAGTGGGGCTCAAGGCCATCCCCGCCGATCGCGCATTCGCCTTCACGCGCCTCCTCTACCAACACCTGCCCGCTCCCGAAGAGTACGACACGACACGACACGACACGCACACTCCTCGGCTTCAATTGACACTGGCCGTGGTGATCAGGACTTTGATTTTGCACAGCCTGGGCCGACATGAGTTCCACTCCTCGTCCGACGCGTACTCCTCTTCCACATTCCGCCTGCTGGAGACTCGTGCCTCGCGAGTACGTCAGCGCCTCCCATCTCCCTCGTCTCACCTGCATTTCTGATTGTGTGTGTGTGCGTGTGTGTGTGTGTTGTGTGTGTGTGTACGTGCGTGTTAACAGCAAAAACGTGAGAGCTCGCAGACCAAGCCGCCGTGCGCTTACCTGGAGGTGCCCAACATGGTCGAGGGTGCTGCCGCTGCCATCGTTTCCCACGTACAGCCCTTCATACCCGTAGTGGAACCCGTCGGCCCCACAACTCACATTCTTTTACTGTGATCCCAGTTGGAGCGGCGAGGCCAAGTGGGCCGATTGATGGTGAGTGTGCTGGGCGAAGAGCCCGGCGGTCGCCTCGGGCTCGAGGCCGTCCAGGGCTTTGCTGAGGTCCTCAACACCTCTGGCGGCGGCGACAGCCTCCTCGCGCTCACCGACGCGCAGCGCGCGCAGGCCGCCAGCGCCTACCCGGCAGCCGTGAAGGCCTTCAACGCGCGCCTCTCCCTCCCCAAGACCAGCATCTTCCTCTAATTCCCCTTTTCTCTTTCTTTTCTTTGCTTCCTTCCATAAACTTGCTCTGTGTCACATGATTGGGGGACTCACCCGTATCAACGCAATCGCAAAGCAGACGATGTCTACCATTTCGGTGATGGCTCTGACGTGCAAGAAGGACAACAACGCATTTACGGTGTTGCTCATCTACCCTGAATTCGGCAATGAGGGGTGCAAGAAGGTGAACTATGCTCATTAATGATGATGAATGCGGTAATGGCCCACCACTGGGGCGTTTGCCGCAAGTCCTGCGGCAGCTGCGGCGAGCCACGCGCCGCGCAAAGGCCTGCAGTGTAGACTGGCTGTATACCGGGTGTGTAGACAGTGACGATGGTTTTAGCTCCGAACCGCCCTACAAGTACCGCAACCGAACTCTCCACTTCTTCTTCTTCTTCTCCGTCGTCCACAACATGGCTTCACTGCGCACACGGTACGTCCCCGCCTTGGCCTTCCTGGTCTGTCTCGAGCTCTCGATCCTCCTCCCCGCCCGTGCCGACGTGCTGCGCGTCTCCCCCGACTCGCCGGCCATACTGCCCTCCATACTGCCCGCCGCCGACGACACCAACATCAACTTCCCGTCGATCATCGCCGTGCCGCCCTGGCTCCGTGCGCGAGGCGCGCTGGGCGCCTACTACATGTACTTCAGCAGCCACAAGGGCGCCCACGTGCGGGTGGCCTACGCCGACTCGGTCGAGGGGCCGTGGACCGTCCACCCCAACGGAACTGACATCACGCTCGACCGGGTCGCCGCCGTCAACAACGACTCGTACGACCCGGCCAAGGGCCACACGGCTTCGCCCGAGGCCTGGGTCGACCCGGCCGCGTACCAGGTCCGCATGTACTACCACTTCCGACTACTCGGGCTGGGCCACCAGGCCGGCTACGCCTACAGCGAGGACGGCCTCCACTGGAGCCTCACCCCCGGCGCAGTACACCCGCGGCCCTACCTGCGCCGCTTCGTTCTGCCCAACGTGGGCCACGGCCCCGGAGGAGCCGGCGGAGAGTACATGATCGACCGCGACCTGGGGGTGTATAGGGTGGTGACGAAAGACCAGTTTTCGGGCCGACCAATGGCGTTCGAGCTAGTGAACCGGTTGCTTGGCAACGTGCTGGCCAATCTGAGCCTGATCAACGGCGACGGAGAGACCGGATTGGTGCGCCACGTCGGAGTTGACTTGCTGCCCAACCCGCTGGCGCCCACCTCGGTCCGGGTCTACGCCACCCGCATCGGCGACGCGCCCGAGCGCATCGTCGCCACCCGCGTGGCCCTGCGGGACTGCGCCCTGCCCGTGGCCGCTTGCCTGTACCGCGATCCGTCGCACTGGGCCGCGACCGAGGCCGTCGAGGTCCTGCGCCCGGCCACGTTCCACGAAGGCGCTGGCGAGCCGGTGGTGCCGTCGGCCAAGGGCGACGGTCCGGCCTACCGGGTCAACCAGCTGCGCGACCCCGCGCCTTACTACGACGCCGGCAGCGGGCGTCACTACCTGGCCTACGCCATCGGCGGCGAGTTCGGCATCGCTCTGGCTCAGCTCACCGGGGCCGATATCGAGCCGTGAGCCTTCGCCAACACCAACATCACATCTGGGATGCCAGCGATGTCTGTTCTTCTTTTTCTTGAACAATTAAACAGCGGCCACCCTCTACCTGCTGGGCTACAAAGGGAAAGACCAACTTGCGGTGGCAGTCGGCCATGAGACCGGCGAAGTTGAAGTTGATGACGGTCTGCTCGTCTCCGTAGTCTGGCGTTGGGGGTCGGTGCGGCTGGGGGTGCGGCTCGGCGAAGGCGACCCAGAGGCTGAGGCCAAGGGAGAGGGTGGCGGCGAAGAAGACGATGACGGAGATGCGGATGAAGTGGCCGACGTTGAGGCCGAAGAGGAGGGAGAGGCCGAGGAGGTGGCGGACGGAGACGCCGGCGAGGCCGTTGGAGACGCCAACGGTGTTGGAGACGCCGATGAAGTGGGCTACGTAGAGGCCGACGAAGAGGGAGAGGCCGTTGGAGAACCCGCGGCCGACGACGTTGGAGAGGCCGATCAAGTGGGCGACGGAGAAGCCGACGGAGAGGGAGTCGGCGATGCTGAGGGGGAGGTCGACAGCGAAAACAGCAAAACGTTGGTAGTGTCGAAAGGCGGCTGCGGAGTAGGGCCAGTATCTTTGACTAGGCATCAATGATGAAGGTTCAGAAGGCTCGGACGAGCTGTTTTCAGTTTCAGTTTCAGTTTCAATCACTCTTCTCAACCTGTTGTTCATCGCTCTGCAACTCGACTTTCGTCAGTTGATCTTGCTGAAGAAGGAGGTCTTCCACCTCTGGATGACGCGACGACCGAAGTAGAGGAACAGCACCACGGCCACGACGAGGCCCAGGATGACTCCGCCCGCGGCCGAGAAGACGCCCACCAGCGCCATGTCGCCGTCATCGTGCCCCGAGCTCCCACCATCCACCACCGTCGTCGACATCGGACAAGTGTCTGCACTCTGGGGTGAGGTGCGTGTCGTGTCGTGTCGTGTCGTGTCGTGTCGTGTCGTGTCGTGTCGTGTCGTGTCGTTGGTGCGTGTCGTTGGGCGTGTCGTGTCGTGTCGCGCGCGTGCGTCGCGTCGTGTCTTTGGTCGTGTAGTGCGTGTCAGGTGCTGACGAGCGTACCCTCTTGGGCTTGCCAGACCTTGAGCGTCTTGAGGACTTGGCTACGCGCTGTGACGAGACAAGCAACGTCGGCAGATGTAGGCGTGGAGAACAGCGAGAGGCCGATAGACGTCGACTCGCAGTCAATCTGATACATCGTCACCGCGCAATCACCATTGCACGCACTGTGAGCCATCAAATGTCGCAACAATCACACAACACAACGATCTGGGTGGTCACCTCGATGATCTTGTTGCCCGTCGTGGCGTAGTCCTCGGCCAGGGCCGCGGCGTTGGGACCGAGACTGGAGTAGGGGTCGTTGGCCGATTGAACGAACGCCATGTTACAACCCGTCGGCACTCCACCACTATGTTGCAAGCCAGAAAAACGCGTGAGTCATCAAACATGCTCAGCTCTAGCAGGTTGGCCCAACGAACCCAAAGTTGGTGTTGACGTCGTCGGTGTTGGGTCGGGCAGTGGTGAGATTGTTGAAGAGCTTCTGGCACACGGAGAGGTACCAATCGACGTTGACCTCGGCCGGCACCAGACTGTAGGGCGAGCCTGATGACACCTAAGGAATGCGGAAGAACACGACAAGATGTGAGGCTCATCGGTTTTCAGGTTGCGCGTTTTGCTAACGACAAGTCAGTAGCACCTCGAACTGGCCGAGCTGGGTGCACTTGAGGTAGTAGGTGGGCCTGTAGCCGGCGCCGTAGTCGGTCATGTTGCCGCCCGTGTCGAGGGCAAAGTCCCACTGCTTGAACATCATCTAACGATTCATGCCACAGCGTATTATAAATGCTGATGATGTTGACGTTGACGTTGATGCTGTGCATGACGATTGTCTGGTAATACATACATAGTTCTGGTCGTTATAGTTGCCGATGTAGTTGGCGAGTGCCTCAAGCCTGGTGGCGTTGTCGCTGTTCCGCACGTCCGAGAATGTTTTGCACATCTACCACAAACAGAGTCCGAAAAGGTGAGAACAAGAACAAGAAGGAGCCAAACAGAAAACTGATAATGATGATTGATGGTACGTTGATCGAGTCGTAGCCCATGGCGCCCATGAGGATGGTCGACACCACATACATGAACTCGGCGTTGGGCAGCAGTTCGGCCTCGTCGACGCCGCACTGCACCTGGTAGGCCGCTCTTGCCTCGGCCGACGAGTTGAGCGTGAACGAGACCGTGCCCAGAAGGTCGTGAACGATGCGCGAGCAGGTCCTACCTAAGAATGTTGAACGTCGTCAGGAATGCATCAGGAATGTAGGAATGTGTTGATGTAAGAGAGGAATGTGAATGGTACCGATGGAGGCCTGGTAGGCGAGGTCGTAGCCCGTGTAGCCCTCCACGGCGAGCAGGTGGGGCGAGGTGGCCACCACGCCGAACGCCACGCGGGGCTTGGCGCGCACCCAGGTCGCGAACGCGCCGTCAAACAAGTCGCCCATCACGATCCAACGCGTCTGTTTCATGAGTGAGTCACCTTCACAGCGTCTCCATGACGCACACGACATGCGTGTAGTGATGATGAGTAGACTAGTGAGCGTACGTTGTTGGGAAGGAGCGTGGACTTGTCCTGGATGAAGTTCACCACATCGGCCACACTGGGTGTTGCATACGAGTTTGGATTGGGTCAGTGCAGGAGACCAGAAATGCTTGGAATGCTGCAATGATCGGAGGTACTTTTGTTCGATGGAGTAGTAGCGGAGGTCGCGGGTCGATACGTCGGGCACGGGGTAGCTCTCGCCCGCGTACCTGGGCTCCAGGTCGAACACGATCGCTCCTGCATGTGATGTTAACACGTGAACGAACAACTGAGCGAGTGTGGTGGTGCGTGCGAGTGTGGTGGTGCGTGTGCGATGTGGTTTTCAAAAGCTGGACCGGAGGTTGTACCGAGTTCCTTGGCCCAGGTGGCAATGGTCGAGGTGTTCCAATCCCCGTCCCAATGGAATGAGTTGATACGCACTTTTGCGCGACATACCAAAAAGATGAAAACTTGATGAGCCAAGTGGCCACCCAACACCTCCGGCGTGACGGGAGAGAAGGCATGTACGGAAGGCCAGGGGGCGGGCCTTGGCCTGGGTGGGTACCTTCCACCAGCGCTGGTTTTCCCAGTAGCGCTGGTGGAAGGTGTCATGGTTGAGGCTGTCGAAATGATCCACCTTCTGCCCACATTGATCGCCAAGCCATACGACACAAACCGCATCCAAGAGGTCCAAAGAATGTTAGCAAGAATGAGGTGAGTAGCTTCTCTTCTTGTACATTCCTCACTTCCTCACACTTCCTCATTCCCGGAGGAATGCGGAATCTCCCGAAACGCCGTCTCGACCATATGTAGGTGTCGGTGGTGGCCGCGGTTGGAAGAGCATACAACCAAGGTGGAAGAAGATGATGGTGAAGGTGATAATAAGAAGAAGCAGCACCTGGGTGAAGTTGAGAGCGAAATTGACCGAAGCCGCGTCTTCCCGATGGGCGAGGAACCGCGCGTGGACCGCTCTGTTGGCGGCGGCCCCGCCCAGGAGGAGGACCAGTCCGACGGCGGTGGCCAGCAGGGCCAGCGAGTAGGGCACGCGGCCCAGGAAGCTCATCGGGCTCGAGTAGCGGGGAATCCTTGCGCGAGGCGGCATGGCACCAACCGCCTGCGCACTCGGGCTCAGGTACGCCACCAACGTCATCTTGAATCTTCAAGCTTAAGATATGTTGCGCTGTTGTTGGGTGGTGTTGCGAGTTGCACAAGTGGAAGGCAGAGCTTTGCAAGCTTGCCGTGATAAAAAATGAAGGAAAAACAGGGTGTCGACAAGTTTTGTCACTGGTGGCCTCGGTTTTCAAATGTATGAAACGAAACAACGAAACCAAGTAATATCCCTTTCCACACGAACTGAGACTACCGCCGCGTTGTACGCGAGTACCTCAACTCCTTCCCTCATCTTCTGCATCTTCCTGCCGTGGATTCTTGGGGGCACTCATCCACCCTTTAGAGTGCGAAACGCGAAGGAAGGACCATCCTACACCGATAATCCATAAAACGCACGGGGTGATTAATCGCAACAAAGAAAGATAGACGAAAGCGAAGCCCCTCACTAATCCCGAGGGGCACGAAGAATAGCGAAGAGCAAAGATCGAAAAAAGCGACACGCCGAAAGATCGAAGCTTCATCTGCGTTCGCGCCGACAACGAAACGGCCCGAGCCCTTTTTCTTTTACTCAACAGACGAACAAGATGATGAACTCTTCAGCCAGTGGATGGAAGAACGGACTCGGAGGACCACAACCGCAGCAGCCACTACAGAAAAAGATGGCGGACGCGGATGACAACAACAAAACGGGTTCGCCGTCGTCCTCCTACCCGCCGGGCGGCGGCCAGACCTCGCAGGCCGGCGGCTCCCACTTCTTCGCGCGCGGCTCAGGCATTCGACAGGCCGCCTCCCTGCCCACCACCTCGCCGCTCGGCTTCCTCCGCTCGGCCGGCAAGGCCTCGGCGTCGACCTCTTCGGTCAAGCCCAGCGCGGCCCAGCGCATGGCCGGCATCGAGTCCGAGCGCGGCATGCGCCCGCCGGCGGCGGTCGAGGTGCGCGACATGGCGGCTGCGGGCGTGCGCAACAGCAGCCGGGTGCTGCGGAGAGTCGAGAGCGAGAAGACGATGGCGGTGGACGACGACGATGGCGTGGGCTCACTGCAATCGAGTTCCTCCTCGACCGATCTGGGCTACGACGACGAGTGCGTGCTTTTTATCGCCTCGCGCGATGTGTGTGTGTGTGTGTGCGTGTCGTGTCGTGTCGTGTCGTGCGTGCCGTGCGTGTCGTGAGTGTCAAGTGTCGTGTGCGATGCTGACTCGAGCGACGACGAGCAGCATGGTAGGGCGGCGGAGCGTGGATGCGCAGATGGCCCGTAACATGCTCGATACCCAGCTCCACGACCAGTTTCACGTATGTGTTCCTCCCTTCTTCTGCCTCTTCTTCGTTGATTGACCGGGTATCTGTATCCCTGCGTCTGGGCATGACGGTGGACTCAATCACGACTCAAACGCACACACGGCCAACGACGACACACAGACACAGAAAAAGAACTCTCTGGCCTACATCTCCTTCTTCAAGAACGCCCAGAAGTACTCGGATTCCCTTCAAGGTCCGTTGCATACAAGGAATTCGGACATAAAACATGATGGAATGCTAAAAGCCGATAAATGCTTGCAGAGTCGGCGGAGTATGGCGCCGAGATGTCGCAAGCGATGATCAAAATGACCAAGACTGCTCCCAACTCCGAAGAAGACTGTACGCATGCATTGCCTTCACGCTTATCCTTCCACGTGGGGCGGTTTTAGGTTGACCCTGTGCTTTTTTGTTTTCATTTGTGTGGGCAACCCGTTAGCCGAGATCATCGAATCTATGGCGGTGAGCTGGGGCGGCATGATGCAACTCCAGCAGCATTGCTTGGTACCTCCCTACCGACCCACCCTTGCTTGTACATCAACGAATGCCCTAAACCCATATTTTTTTTATTCATTTTATTTTTGTTTGACCAGCGGCCATTGTTCACCGAAGACGAGTTTGCAGAGAAGTTCCAGCTGTACGAGGGCGTGGCTGAAGTAGTGGTACGCTTGATTTTTTACGTAATATATTTAATACATGTATTGAGATATCTCAATACATTTGAGACATATATGTTCTAAATTATGCGTGGTATGTGCGACAGTCACTGGAGAAGGAGTACAAGAAGCAGCATGCGGTGTACACGCAGCGGCTGAAGAGGTACGAGAAGTCTATTCGCAAGGAGCGAACTAAGAAGGCCAAACAGAACAGCGCCACCCTCGTCTCGGATGTACGCAGTGATCACTTTTTGCACTTTTTATTTCGTTTGACAAAATTTAACCGTGGGACCACACACGCGCAGAGCATCGACATGCAACTTCTGCAGACGTCGTTCGACGAATGGCGAACACAGATGATGGAGGACCTCACGGTACCCCTCCCTTTCCTGTCTGTTCGTTTTCGCTTTTCGCTTTTCGCTTTCGTTTTTTGAGTTGCATTTTAAAGATCATGCGATCAGCACCAATCAGGAATGTTTTGATCAATATTGATCGTTTTAATAATAATACTGTATTTATTTTATTTTATTATTAGGACATGGAGCGGGTGAGGCAGGCGCGGTTTGCGTGTCTCTTCTGGCAGAACCTGGAGCGCCAGCTGGAGCACTACCGCACCTTCATCTCCCTCCTCGAGAAGGAGAAGAACAGCTGGGAAGCCCGCTACCGGGCAGTCGCCTCCACCACCCCTCCTGCCCCCGCCCCCGCCCCCGCCCCCTCCCTCGCCGCAACCACCACCACCAATACCGACGCCACTCCCGTGCGTCACCTCCCCGCACACGCACACGCACACGCACACGCACACGCACACGCACACGCACACGCACACGCACACGCACACGCACACGCACACGCAGCACGCGTGTGGCATGCTCATAGTACGTGGTTGCTGATGATGATGATTTGTCGATAGAAGAGCAAAGAGGCGCAGGTGCGAGAGAGCCGCAAGGGGAAACACCACTCGGCGGGCGAGGTGACGCATGCGCTCTCCTCCTCGCGCCTCTCCAGCTCCCCGCTCCACTCCGGCAGCGAGGTCACCCGCTCCGCCACCTCCCCGCCCCACCCGAAAGGGGTACGTCCGATTTCCTTTTCCTTTTTCTATTTTTTATCATTTATTTTGATTAAATACGAATAGAAATATAACGATCTGTTTAGATAATTTGTTTTCTTAAAAATTGGACAAACTGACACGCGCACGCACGCACAGGTGTCGTTCGAAGCACGAAACGACACTGACAGCGAACCGCTGACCAGCGACAGCGAAGGTTCGGAACTCAGCCAATCATTGTCTACACATTTATTTCTTTTTAGTTGATTGGCGAGATTTAGTTTTTTTATTAGACCAATAATTATTAATAATGATAACATGGGCGCAGGACCGGATCCGTTCGTGGAGGAGGTGGACCACCTGCTGCAGGGCGAGTTGGACGAGAGGCAGCGGAAGGTGACCATCTCGGCCGCGGTAGCGCAGCACAAGATCAAGCGGCCCAACTCCAAGCGGCAGAGCACCATCGCCCTGGCCTCTCAACTCCTCGACTGGTTTTCTGCCCACCCGCACATGCACACGCACCACCGCACACGCACACGCGATTTCGTAACTAATGTAGTTGGGATGCGATCATAGGTGTTTCCAGACGGATGCTTCGATGACGGCGATGCCGATCACGCGGAAGACCACGGCCTCGTCGACTGACGGCGACACAATCAGCGAAGGGGGCACCAACAACGAAAACGAAAACGACAACTACAGAGATAACGAAAACGACAACGGCTCGCACGTTGACAACGACCACGATTTCGAGAAGGAGGAGCAGAACAACGACGACGATGACGACAAGCAGCCCAACAATAACAATAACAACAATCACACCAATCACGACAGCAACAAGCTCAATCCCAACAACGCCGAGAGCGAAGGCGAGCCGCCGCTCGAGCGACAGCGCCTCCACAGCGCGGCCGACATCCTCGATTCCATCTTCGCCGTCGACCCGCCCGCCCACGCCCCGACCACGCCGGCGTCGACCGCCGCCGGCAGCAGCCCGGCCCTACAGGCCTCGATCGGCGGCAGTGGTCTGGCCACGCAGTACCGGCCGTCCATCAGCGGCAACAAGAGCCAGCGGGTGTCGATCGGCTGCCGCCGGCGCTCGCCCTCGCCAGCCGCGGCCGAGAGCAACGACAGCGGCCCTGGAGAAGGGGGTGCGTAATATTATTTTCATTTTCATTTTTTTAAACGATAAAACATTTTATCAAAGAATTTACGCTGACAGGGTCAATTCCAGACAAGGGCGCCGAGCGGGGCCATAGCAGCTGAGGATGATGGCACAACAACGACCACAGTTGATGGTAATGGTGACGATGACGATGCTGATCAGAGCCCGCACTCCACAACGCAAACACAACCGGCCGGTCTGCTGATGGTGGAGGCACGAATGTTCCGGTGAAGAGTCCCGAAGAGTCGTGTTGTTCCGCGTGCTTGAGAATTACTGTACTTTGTAACACCATGGTGTTGTTCAACCACGTCTTGCATCATCAACATCTTGTTTCATCATCATCATCATCATCACAACCTCGAACGTAGACAGCAAAAGAGAAGATATTTGTTTCCAAAAGAGTAAGAGCGTCTCAGCTGAGTATCTACAGGTGTCTGCGTGCGAGCACCACTGGCGCTGGGCGTGATACAGCCGCAATCATTCGGCTGCAAGCGGCGCCTCTTGACGCTTGGCCTTGACCTTGGTCTTGGCCGCCGTCGCTGCAGCGCCAGCAGGTGTGAGACGAGAAGACTGGTGTGCTGGAGGGCTGGACGTACCTTTTTGTGGGTCTGTCGCGGTGGGCTCGCCCGCAGGCACTTCCGGCATCTGTGGCACACCCTCCTGCTCCGCCTGCTCGACCAGGTCGTGGTGAGACTCACAACACACGGCACACGACACACGACACACGACACACGGCACACGGCACACGGCACACGACACGCACGACACATTACGACACGACACGACACGACACGCACCTGCTGCACGAGCTCGTCGAGTTCAGCGAGGATGGCTTCCTCGTCCTCGTCGGTCAGCTTGCCCGCCAGTATGTTCTCGATTTCCTGCGCAGGTGTGAACAACAGCGACAATGCAAGAAAAGGAAGGCGTGGTGGTGGGTGGTGGGTGGTGGGTGGTGGGTGGTGCGTGTGGCGCACCTGTTGGTGGGCGATGGCCTCCTGGGTGTCGGCCATGAGCTCCTCGACGGCATTGAGCGACATCTCCGCCTGAATCTCCTTCAGCACCTGCTCTCTCGCCACCAACGCATCACACATCATCAGATCATGACATGTGGTGCGAACAGCAGAGAAAGAAAGAAAGAAAGAAAGAAAGAAACGGACCTCATTGCCCGCCTTGAGCCCGTCGAACACCCTCTTCTCCATCTGGGCGAACTCGACTGAATCGATCTAGGTCGTCGCCGACGACGACAAACGTTCGATTAGCTCAACGCCCCATAGATGGGACACGCGCAGAGCAACTCTTGTGTGCGTGTGCGTGTGCGGTGTGCGGGTGTGCGTGTGCGGCGTGCGTGCGTGACATGAGCATGTGGTGCGGCGTGTGGTGCCGAACCATCTCCTGGAGGTTCGACAGCTGGGCTTCGGACTTGGCGAGGAGCTGCTCCTGGAATCGCTTCTTCTTCAACGCCAACAACGCCTGCCGGGTCGTGCACACACACAACGCAGTGGTCAGCGACTGCCGCCACGGCACACCTCCGCCAAGGCGCGTGGGTGCACTCTACCTTGGGTCGTTGTCCCTTTCGTAGGAGTTCGCGTGCCATCTCGGTCTCCTTCTCCACGACGGCCCTCATCTGTGTAGAAAGAAGAGCAAAGCATTAAAAATAGAAATATTTAATGTTTTTATTTATCTCTTTTATTTATTATTTATTTATTGATGTACAGTGCGGCATTGATTACTTGCAAGTAGGTACCTTCTTCTGGTATTGGGTGAGCTTGTCGCGCTGCACCTTGAGGTCCAACACGGCCTTGTCGTGGGACGACACCCGCGGTGCCTTCTTTGTTGCCGAAGACGAAAACAAGCCTCCCATCTTCACCAGAATCTTCCTCTTTTTGTTCGATGATTTTACAGCTTAATAATCTGTATCTCTCTTTTCCCGCGGGAAATGCCACGTCATGCATGGCCTTTTTTATTCATATTTTAAAAGCAAAAATCCAAATCATAATATCAAAAGAAAAAATCCAATAATCATAATATCAAAAAAGAAAGCGAGTAGCGGTTGGCAAGATGGCACTGCTGTTGGGAACAGGCTCTGGTGGTCTTACGCGGGTTCGCAAGCGAGACTACACAGACTTGGGCTCGCCGCCGCAGAGGCGGCCTTCATCATCTTCTAGTTCTTCTTCTTCTTCATCTACTGCTGCTGCTGCAGCTCCTTTGCTCGTGAGCAGCGACAGAAATCATCGCACTCGCAAAAATCAGGGGCGACCGCGGATTGAAGAAGATGGCAGGCAACGACGCTTCGAAGAAGAAGAGGAAGTAGAGGAAGATGAGGAAGTGGAAGAATTGGATTTGCGTGCGGTGTGGAGCGGCGCGCGAGGGAGCAGCGCGGGAGCGGCGGTGGCCTCGGCGTGGCAGAAGGCGGCAGACCGAGCAGATCTACGCGACCCGGCCGTGGGCAGCTACCGCTACGTCGAGGAGGAGCGAGACTACAAGCCTCTGTACGTTGCCTGACATCTTCATCTTTTTTATTTTATTTTATTTTTTCATCTGCAGCACAGCCGCGATATGGCGCACGTCAATCGAAGCGCAAGGCATGACTCGTGGCCACGTTTGTGTCCAGGCTTCCCCCGAAAGTGGCCAACCCAGCCAATGCCACCGACTTCCTCTTCGTACTTTCCTCACCCCCGCGTGTGCGTGCGGTGTGTGCGGTGTGTGCTCACCGCAAGGTAACAGGTGCCGTACACGCTGGAGCGGCTGATCAGTTACGGGATCTTCATATGCATGGACTCGTTCCTGTTCGTGTTCACTGCCCTGCCCATCCGGGCAGCCATTGCTCTCTACCACCTCATCCTGCGGCACCGCAAGCTCCACGCCATACAGAAGGTCGACATCCTCAAGGTCATCATTCTCGTCCTCGGCTACCTCTTCCTGCGGCTGCTCGACATTCCCAGGTACAGCGCCATTCACTCACTCAGCCAGTGGCTCGTAAGGTGGCGATCAATTCGTTCACAGCGTGCGTGTGTGCGCAGTTTGTCGTCCTTCATGGCTAAGGAGTCGCTGTTGAAGATCAAGTATCTTGTGACGCTTCTTGTGGTACGTACAGTAACTTGCTTGACCGCTCGCACTGCACTGTCACCAACCTGGCGCTCGCGAAAGGTGATGGATCGGCTGATGAGCAGCTACGGCCAAAACATTCTGGGCAGTCTCTTCTGGGCCGTGAACCAGCCGGCCAACAAGGTAGCGACAATTATATATATATAATTATATATATATCTGTTTACTTTTATTTTATTTTATTTGGTAATGTGAATGGCCGAGTGACGGAGAGTGCCTGCAGGTGAAGCGTGGCTACTACTGGCACTTCATCCTGTCGATCATTTACGTCAGTATCCTTTTCGCCTTAGCCCCCCAATGTGTGCCGGTGTGCCTATGTGTCGTTTGGTCGTGTGTTGTGGGTGTCGTTCTATTTGGAGTGGTTTTTCTCCTTGACGATGCGGCACAGACGTTCATTCAACGTTCCTGCTGGGCTACATTGCGGTGATGGACGTGGCGATGGAGGGCAAGAACACTGCCCTGCTCACCCTCCTCATCCTCATTCAATTCGCCGAGATGAAGTCGGCCGTGCTCAAGGAGCTCAGCCAGGACAAGCTCTGGGCCATCTGCTACAACGGTGTGCCACCTCTCCCCATTTGTTATTTGTCATTTGTTCTTATTGACTGTAAGCACAGATATCGTGGAGCGTTTCCAGTTGCTGGTGTCGCTTGTGCTTCTCTTCTTCTATAACATCTCCAAACACCACATCAACTCCTTCTGGGTACGTGGTTCCCTTTAGCTGTCTCGGCCTTCATTTTATTGTGGAGCTGGGTGGCTGCTGACGACGACTGTTGTCACCTCCCGGCAGGATGAGGATTGGCTGACGGCAAGCGAGTGGCTGCGCCCGCTCCTGTTTTCTCTGCTGATCATCTACCTGTCGGAGCTCACCGTCGATTGGCTCAAGCACACGTCGATTATCAACTTCACTGACCTTAGCCCACACATGTACACCGAACTGGCCTACAAGATCAGCAAGCGCTTGCTCGACGTCGACGATAAGAGCGTACGCACGACACCCACGGCCAACCACAACCGACACACGGCCGCTGCAACCTGCTCTGACGGTGAATGCGTCGCTTGTGCAGTTCCTCACTGATCGGACACAAAACATCGCAACTGGCGATTTGGGAGTGATGCCCCTCTCCCTCGGCGTGCTGGTACGAGCACACACACACACACGGGACGCGACACACCAATACAAAGTGCTAATGTCTGTGTGCTCGTGTCAGGTGCTCAAGGTGATTGGTGATTGGATGCCGAGTGGACTTAACGGCCTCGCGGTGGTGGTGGGCCTCTACCTGCTGGGCCTTCTCCTGCGACATCTTTCTGGCATGCTGCTCTCGATCTACACCCGCCGCTTCCACGCCTACAAGCAACAGTTCGCATCTTCTCTCTCTCTCTCTCTCTCATCTCGATGCCATCTACTGATCATCTCCGTTACGTGCGTGAATGTGATGCCTTACATCCAGGTCGGGCACGGCGGGGAAGCTCTTCCTCCGTTGAAGATTTCAACTCAACAGACCACTTTCCCGCCAAAAGCGGTGTAGCACAAAACGTGCAGGTTTTGGGCAGAGAAGATTGCACCACATCCCATTTAGCGCATTTGCAGGATTTTTGAGAGTGGAGGTGGATCTTGATCAATACTGGCCGCTCAGTGACCTTTGAGTAAACCAGTCCCTCCCCGACTTGGAAGTAGCGGCAATTGCGTGGGCAGACAAGAATCGAAACGAATTATCAACGAATAATCGATCTCGACGTGAAGATGATGTCTCAAACGCCTTCACAAACAAGTGCGGGCCGTGCCCCCGCCCACCGTTCGATCAGCACCCTCTTCCCTGCCCCCCTCTTCGAGGACAAATCACTAGGCAAGACATTCGGCGGCATCTCGCGCGACGGCTCGCATGGATGGATCGTTGGCGACAGCGAGCTCTTTGTATTCGATCTGCAAGGTGACGACGGTCCGCGACGCAAGGCCGAACTCGCTGCTGACCTGCAGGAAGACCAGGCTACGGCTGTACGTCTACTCGTCTCGTCCTTCTACTCGAATTCATGTGTGATTTAATTTCATCCATCCCCACTTTCGCCCGTGTAGGAGAAGTTCTTGTGCGTTACGGAGGTCACCATTCGAGGCGAGTCGTTCCTCGCTGCGAGCACACGCGAGCTGCAGGGCGGCGACAGCGCGCTGCTGCTGTTCGATCTTCGCAGCTGCAAGATCTGCAGCACCATCAAGCTTCCCTACTCGGCCAGCGCCATTCTGCAGCTGGACGGTCTCTCGGTACTACACCTCGACTAGCCGCACGAAGGCTCGCATGGTCCTGCTGATCAAAGGACGCGCTTCCATGATCCCTTCTTCTTCTTCTTCTTTTGGCCATCGTAAACAGGGACACAAGCTGTCTGCGGAGCATGAACCTCTCCTGACCCAGTTCGCTTCGTGCCTCCTGCTCGGTACCACCGGCGGCCATCTGCTCGCGCTCGACCTCGATTTCGTGCACCACGTACGCATTTGCACCGCTCGCACGTCAGCGGTGAGTAGCTGATGATGACAAGGTCAACCTTGGGTGCGCAGCGACAGGAAGTGCGTGAGATGGAGCTGAAGTACCCGGGCACGGAGTTCGATCCTGTGCGCTTCTCGGCGGAGCACCCCAATCACATCCCGTGCGTGGCGCTCAACAGCGAGCAGCACCAGGGCGGCCGCTTCCAGTACCAGCAGGACCGCGGCGACGCCATCCTCCTGCCGGAGAAGGCCGTGCACGTCACCGCCCTCGCCTACTCCCGCGAATTTGACGCGCTCGCCGTCGGATTCAACTTTGGCACCTTCCAGCTGTGGTCTCTCACCGCCGAGCGCATGCTCTACTCCTCTCCCATTGGCGAGGGCGGTACGTGCTGATCTACCACTCCACAATCGGGGCGCTCACCACCTCTTTTTCTCTACCATGCAGGCCTGGCGACCAAGGTGCCGGTGTCTCATTTCCTGTTCCAATGCGACCAGGACGCTGCCGACCTGACAGGCTCGGCCTACCTGTGGATCGGCCGCAGCACCATCTCATCGCCGCTCCAGTACTCATCACCCACCAGCATTCTCTCTCTTTTTCTCTCTCTCTCTCGGCGCTTCTGAAGCTTGATAATCTCGCTTGTTTCTCACTCTCTGTCGTTTCGTCTTGCAAATGCGAAGCTCGTCGACGCACGCGGCGGAGGTGCAGCTCTTCAACATCAAGTTCAAGGCGGGTCCGTCCATCGGGCACATTGGCTCCGAATACAAGAAGACCCTGTCAGCGCCTCCCCAAGCGGCCAAGATCATTGGCATCCACCTGCTCACGCCGCGTGAACACGCCGGTACGCTTGAAACCACCACCACACCACTCCACACCACTCCACACCACCCCACACCACACCACCCCACACCACACCACCCCACACCACCAACCTATGACGACGACGCTCGGCTAATGTAACAGCTTTTCGTCGACGCGCAGCTGAAGCCGAAGACGGAGGCGACGAGCAGGAGGTGGGCGGCACGGACTGGGACTCGGAAGCCGGCGCACCGGCGGTTGTCGAGAGCCGCAGCCGGTGGGTGCTGTTCGTGTGGGAGGTGCAGGCCGCTGACGGCAGCGCCAACCGCCTGCACATGGGCCTGTTCAACCTCGACCTCGTGTCGGTAACCGCCGGCTTCGTCCCGCTGGCCTACCCGTTCCAGAAGGAGAAGGCCTGCCTGGCCATGTGGGTCGACCCGACGTCCGTCTCCGATTTCTTCGCCTGCACGAGCGGCCTGTTCGCGGAGGAGCGGGAGCGCCTTCGTACCTTCGCCGCCTCGGCGCACACGCTGCCCATCTCGTTCGACGTCTCGTGCCTCTACATCGACACCTACACTCATTGCTCGTGGCTCAGCGATCAGGAAAAGGTGCGTCGTAAGCGTTGTGTGTGTCGTTTGCGTCAAATGGTGTCGTGTCTTACATTCTCTTCTCCAGGCACTGAGCGTGTTCGGCCAGCAGCTGCTGCCGTGGGTTGATCCGTCGTTGGGACTGCAGACAACTTATCAGGTACGATGATAATAATAGTCTTTTTAATTATCATAATAATCAGGCAACGTGTGCTGCTTTTTGGTTGCCTCTTCTTTGGTGTGCGCAGGAGTGCAAGAATGCGGGACTTCTGCACACGTTGCCGGGTGATCCGGTTAGCGATGCGGAACGCGATTATCGCTTCCAGTACAAGGCCCTCTTCGACATGTGTCTCCGCCTGCAGCTCACCTCCTCCATCTGCCACCGTACGTCTCTCCCGCTAGCTTTCGCTCTGGCCCTCCCTCCCCGCATTCTTACATCCTCAATTCTGACACACGACACACACACACACACACGACAGTCGCGACGCTCACGAGAGACGACGGCGTTTACGTGTTCCCCAATCCTCGCATCGTCCTGGAGTGGGCATGGGAGCGGTACTCAGCGTTCAACGACGCCCTCAACGATCACAGCAGCAACCTCTACCTTTGTACGCTTGCCTCCATGTGCGCTGCACACTGCCTCGCCTGGTGACTCACTCGCGCTCCTCCCCTCTCAATTGTTTGTGCACGCGCAGCCACGCTCTCGGTTGGCAACAGACGCGCGGAGTCTGCGTTCGCGGACCAGCTCCGGAGAATCGCGGGTCGCATGTGGGGCGTGAAGCACGTCTTCGAGGCTCTCCTCTCCCGACACGATAACACCGACAAGGGGCAGAAGAACCTCGAGGAGAAGTATCAACAAGTCGTCCATGCCCTCCAGGTTCGCAGCTCTCCTCTCTCGCAGCAGCAGCAGATGATGATAATCACGTTTTTGGTGTGCGTGCGTGGACTCTTTCCCGTGTGTCGTGTCGTGTCATGGGCAACAGCATCTGAAGCTGATGATGTGGGTGCGCGAGAAAATTGAGAACTGGTTGTTCGTCGGCGACTCGCAAACGATAGACGACCAGTTCCAGGAGCGGCGCCAGCGACGGAAGGAGCTCTACGCCGAGACCCAGCGACGTCTCACCGGCCACGTATGTGTCGTTGGTCGTGCCGTGTTGTGCGTCGTGTCGTTGGTCGTGTGTCGTGTGTCGTGGAATCCCTTTCCACAGGGATCCGTTTTTTTAACGGATCCCTGTGTGGCACATAGGTGAAGGAGGACGTGGATCTCGACGAATCGATGTCGACATCATCGGACGACGAGCCATCCCTGTTCATTGAGCTTCTGCTGGCGGCGCACCCGATGGACCAGCCGCTGTACTACCCGCCGCACCACCTCTCCGACTTCCTGCGCACCCTGTTCTCCTCCACCGCCCACCCCGAGCCGCTCAAACACGCCATTGTACGTCAACACGACCACACACACGCACCACACACACACACGCACCACACACACACACACACACACACGCGCGCGCGCGCGCGACAACTACAACCAACCAACGACAATGACGACAGGTGTACTACTGCCTGCGAGACCTGGTGGGGTGGGGCAAGATCAAGGAGTCCCTGCTGCAGGACTACGCGCGACGCTTCCACCTCGCGACGCCCTACGTGCGACTGGTGGAGGGCCTGTGGGGCCTCGACCGCGGCCTCCTGGAGGACATTCCCACCGCCTGGAAGAACCTCACCGAAGTCTCTGGCGACGCCGCCGCCATACTCGAGGTACCTATCGCCCTGCACCCTGAGCCATCCTCGATCAACCAGCTAATGGCACGCACAACCGCACATGCATCACCGCACGCACACAAACACGCACAGAATTGGAAGGGGCGTGTGCTGAGGCTGCTCTACGATCTGGGCGCACGCGCGCAGGCGCTCTACTTTTTGCGGTGGATGCAGCCGCCGGCGTTCACGCCCGCAGACGCCATTCTGCACATGCAGATCCTCCTCGAGAGTGACCTCCTCTCGCAGGCCTTTAACTACCAACGCCTCCGCTTCGCTTCCGCCGCCACACCGGCCGAACTGGCCGTGCGGCGGACGCTGCTCGAGCACCTCTTCCAGTTCTTCCTCGCCAGTACGCATTCCTCACGTTCTCCAAGCCACCTTCGATTTCTAACCACCATCGCACACGTAACACGCAACACGACACGGCAGCCGGCCGCATGAACGAGCTGTTCAAGTTCCATTTGGACGCGGGCGAGGAGGAGGCGCTGGTCCACTTCCTGACGGCTAAGGCCAAAGGACCCGGACTGGAGCAGCTCATCCACTTCTTCCTGCAGCGCGGCCGCTACGTCGAGGTATGTAACATGCACTGCACTGCGTGTGCGGCGACGGTTCTCCAGTTGCTCATACGGTGTGTGTCGTGTGTCGTGTGTCGTGCCCTCGTTGTTGTTGTTACACACAGGCGATGCGTGCGTACAAGGAGCTCACGTCGTCGGCTGTTCCGCTGCTGCCGCCGGAGCGAGCCCAATTCCTCGAATGCCTCATTCAGAACTACAAGCTCGCCCTCCCCTCGGTCGCCCTCCAGCCCCCTCCCTCCCTCTCCTGGCCCTCCTCCCTTCCCGGCACCTCCGCTTCTTCTTCCACCACGACGGCTCCCTCCTCATCGTCCTCCACCTCATCGTCGTCTTCGTCTTCGCTTTCGTTCTCTCTTCTCTCTGTCTTCCCGGCGCCGGCGTCTTCGCTGGCGATGTCATCGTCGGCGCCATCGACTCCGTCGTCGCCGGCAGCGGCACCGACAGAGCAGATCTCGTTCCCGGTGTCGCCGTTTGGCGCGCCGCCCTCGCTGCAGACGCCGAAGCGCGGCTGGAGGAGCCGACCGACCGACGACGGCCTCACCTCGCCCAGCAACAGAGCCCTCCTCGCCTCGCCCTTCAAGACACCCCTTCAACCGCAGCAGCAGACCATGTCGCCCTTCGCTCCATCCACCACCAGGTACCGACACGACACGACCAACGACACGACACGACACGACACGACACACCGCACGCAGCATTGGCTGATCCAAATTTATTAGCCGTTCCCCGCGTCGGCCAGCCGGTAGCCGAGTATTCGGCGGCGCCCTGGTGGCATCGCCCACTTTGCTCGCATCTTCGCCTCGCGGGTCGCTCGCCAGTCCCGTCGCCTCCAGCCAACTCGCGTCGCCCCTTTACCGCGGTACCGTCCCCCCGACACATGTTTCCACATCCTTGTTGTCTTTCATCATCATCATCATACCATCATTATCGGCATCCATCACTTTGTCTCACATGATGATGATGATGTTGTGGTGGTGACCATCGGTGCAGCGTCGCCTGTGGCAGCGCTGCCGAAGGCGGTCGTGGAGGAGACGGAGGAGCCGGCGCCGGTCAAGCGACGACTGGCCAAGCGGACCAAGCGAGGCCAGGCCGGCCAGACACCCCTCCCCGCCACCGCCACCGCCACCGCCGGCCCACGCACCCGCTCCCGCGCCGCCGCACTCACCGAGTGATCCTCTGAAGACGTCGAATAAATCCGCCGTGGCACACAATTGACGATTCAAGGTTGTTTTTTGGGGCTTCTTCACCGGCGTCATCGTCGGGATCGCCTACAGCCTCTTCATCGGCTCTCAGCTTCATCTTCTTCGGCTCACCTGTCGGGCTCGCAACTTTTACTGTGCATATTTAGCATATTTTTCAAAATCCTGTATTTCTCTATATTTTCCTTTTAGTTCTGTTAAAAGAAAGAAAGGTGGTGCAACAATCCATCCCAGAACATTGGACGTCCTGGAATGGGGATCTCAGGGGCGACGAACATGTCGCTCATCTTGGGGGCCGACCTCCCGTCCTGTCCCTCCTCTTGGCATTTTGTAGATTATCCCAGTACGCCGCCGCCCTTTCTCAATTTCCTCAATCATTTATTAATCACTCTCCAATCCATCATCTTTCTTTTCTTCTTCTTCTGCGTACCCACTCCTTCACAGCAAATTCGATCCTCATCTTTTAAAAGATAGATTGATCTATTTATTCATTTATTTGAAGCGATTTATTTATTTAATCGTGTGAATGTACACAGGCGTGACATTCACGTACGCGGCGATCGCGGCAGCCGCCCTGGTGTTCGCGCTGGTGGCCGGCATCAAGTACAACAGCGTCAAGGTGTTCAATCGCTCCATCCGCACCGAGAACATCTCCAACACCCTGTGGATCCTCTTCTACATCTTTATTTCTCTCAGGTACCTCCCACTGTGTGTGTCGCGCGCGACGTGCGACGTGTGCGTGTGCGTCAGTTGCTTAGACACGACACGACACGACACGACACGACACGACACGACACGACACGACACGACACGACACGACACGACACGACACGACACGACACGACACGCGCAGAGCGACGGTGAACACGCTGCGGTACGCGCTGGCGGATGGAAGCGAGGAGACGCTGGACAACTACCTGATCTACTCGGGTCTGGTCATCCACGGCCTCACCGGCTTCTGCCTCACACTCGCCCTCAACCACCAACACAAGTTCCGCTCCACCAGTACGCACCACACACACACGACACACACGACACACACACGACACACATTGATACGATTGCTTGGTTTGTCTGGAATGCAGGCCCGAACGCGCAGCCTGGTCCGGTCGGCGGCAAGGCTGGCCCCAATGGTACGACACGAGACACGACCAACGACACGACACACATGGGGACACGGGTCACTGACTGAAAGAAAACTTGGTTCGAAAATGTAATCAGATCCGGATCCGCTGCTGTCCAAGTACGGGTGGCTCAAGAAGTCGGTCGGGTGGGCCGAGCTGCTCTACTTTGCCCTCTTCCTCCTCTACCTCGCCTTCGTACTCGTCATGATCATGTACGACACGACACACACCGCACACACACCACCGCCACACGACACACGGCACACACACCGCACACACGACGGCACACGACGATGTATTGATGGTGGGGTGTTTGGGGTCTGACAGACGACGAGACGAGGACGACGAGTGGGTCTGGGTGGCCGTGTTCTTGAGCGTCTTCGGCCTCCAGCGCGTGCCCGTCATCGTCCTCGTCTTCCTCATCGCCCTCGGCGTACTTCCCTCACTCACGACACGCAACACGACACGACACGCTGATTCAACACACATGATACGCACACAACACGACACACGACACACACGACACACACGACACACACGACACGCACACAACACGACACACGACACACACGACACACACGACACGCACACAACACGACACGACACACGACAGAAAAGGGATACGCCCGACGGTCCGACGGCGTGGGCCAAGGCCTACCTGGTGGTGGGCGTGTTCTTTTCCCTCACCAACGACATGCCCGTACACATCTGGGCCGAACTCTTCCCCAGTGCGCGCCACGCCCTCTCTGCGGCCTCTTTTTGGTGTTTGCGGCGCTGACGTGCGCGCGCGGTTGTGTGTGTCGTGTTATGTGTGTGTGTCGTGTCGTGTGTGTCGTGTGTGTGGCGTGTGTCGTGTGTGGCGTGTGCGGTGGTGGCAGGCGAGTGCACGTTTGTGTTTGCGAGTTGGGTGGATCTGATCCACGTCTTCTACCTGCCCACGTTGGTCTGCTTCTTCCTCTTCATCCGATCCGAGTACCTCCGAAACATGGAGGAGTGCATCTGGACCACCGTCTCGCAAATCCAAGTACCCCGCCCGCCCCACTTCCGCACTCACCGCACACGACCAACGACACACGCAACGCAACTTACGAGCGATTGTGAAACACGCACACACAAACACACACACACAACACACAACACACAAACACAACACACAGGACACCTTTGACTTCCGACGATTTTAAAGGTGGAGGCAACGACGACGACGATGGAGGAGGAGGGAAAGAGGAGTCGAGGTCGTCGCCTCTCCTATTTATTCGCAAGCGGCATTCGAATTTTGTTTTTGTTTTTGGTGTTTGCAGCGCAACACACCACAACCACCCGGGAGAGCCAACGACGACGCAAGGCGTTCGCGTAAGTGTACACAAGTTAACCGAACAACGATGCACAAACATGTTTGTTGTGTATGCACACATTCCCTACAAGTTGTAAAACACGGTGATTTAAATTGACCATAACAGTCTTCTGCCAAAAGAAACATCATACAACAGCAACTCTTGTCACATCTCCACAGCCACCCTCCTGCACGTCGAACTCATTCGTGGCGTTTCGTTTCGCTTTCGTGTTCGCGTTCGCTCATCTTCCCCCCCCCACTCGCTCCCTGTCTCGCTCGCCCCGCAGCTCCTCCTCGTCTCTCGCCTTCGTCTCTCCCGTCGTGCGTCGTCGCTCTTTCGCTCTTTTTCGTGCTTCGTTCTTTCTCTGTCAGCTCCCTACTGCTGGTTGCGGGCGTAGGTGCGCCTGAACTTCTCGTCGACCTGCTCCAGGTAGAAGGTGCCCGGGAACAGGTCCTCCACCTTGTCGCTCGGCACGAACGGCTTCGGCACATCATCCGACGTCGCCGTCTCCCTCCTGCGACACACGACACACGACACACACCAAAGTTCAGCGCGTGTCGTGTCGTGTCGTGTCGTTGGTGGTGTGGTGTGTGTGTGAGTGGCGGTGGGTACCTCTTGAGGGCCTCGACAAAGTCGGCGGGGGCGACCTTCTTGCGCTGGGCGAGGCGGGCCTGGAAGTTGGAGGTGTCGGCGATCTTCTTGAGGCCCGACTTGAGCTTCACCGAGAACAGCGACGCTGCCAGCCCAGACCCGTACGAGAACATCAGCGCCCTCTTCTCCGCCTCACCTGCGACACGACACGACACGTGGCACACATCAGTCAAACCGCACACACGACACGACACGACACGCGCGCGTACTTGTGGCGGCGTCGGCGTGGGAGGCGACGAGCGAGAGGAGGCCCGTGTAGAGGGAGCCGCAGTAGCTGTTGCCCAGCTCCTTGGGGAGCGTGAGCGAGGGGCCGACCTTGGACTTGTAGGTGGCGTCGCTGTACTTGATGACCTCCTTCATGAGGTTGTTGTCCTCGTAGGTGGTCTCCGGCTGCAGCTTGTTCTGCGACTTGAGCGACTCGTGCAGCGCGTGCGCTTCGTTCTTGACGGCCTCCAAATAGTTCTACGCGGTGTGTGGGCGGTGACGAGGCGTGACGTCAGCATTCAAAAAAGAAAAAAGAAAAATGGGGATGACGTCAGCAGCGACGTTAAGGTGTGATGTGGTGTGGAGTACCATGCGAGCCCAGGATTTCTGGACGAGCTTGGTGTAGGGCGAGTGGAAGAGCGCGTAGTCCACGTCAGCATCCAGGCTCAGCTTCTTGCCGTGCGCCTTCTCGAACCGCTCGGCCTGCGTCCACGTCCCACATTCCATACTGTCAGCATGACGCACGACACACGCACACGCACAAGCAACACGCAACACGACACACGACACACGCAACACGTACGTAGGTGTAGAAGCACTGGTCGAGGGCGCGCAGGTAGCAGGTGTTGGAGAGGGCGCCGTCGACGAGCGGGTACTCGGAGCCCATGACGGGCTTGTAGAAGTCCCACGCGTTCTCCATGAACGTCGACCGGATGCCGCGCTCGAACACGATCGGCGCGCCCTTGCCGATCAGCATCGCCACCGCCGCGGCGCCGCCGGTCGGGCGGGCCGGCCCGGCCTCGTAGACGGCGATGTCGCCCGCAACAACCACCGCGTAGCGGCCGTCCCAGTAGCTGCTCTCCACCTGTGCGTGTCGTGCGTTGGTTGAACTGTGGCTATGAAGCGGAGAGGAGACGATGTGCTGCGTACCCAGTTGATGGCGTTGAAGAGCGCGTTGGTGCCGCCGTAGCAGGCGTTGGTGGTGTCAACGCCTGCGTTGGCGTGTGTGGTCAGCATAAGGTGTGTGCGTGTGCGGTCATGCGTGTGCGGTCGTGAAAGAGCGCTTATACCTTCGATGTCGGTGTTGCCAGCCTTCTGGAAGAGGTCCATGAGGGTGCTCTTCACCGACTTGGACTTGTCGACGATGGTCTCCGTGCCCACCTCGACGCGGCCCACGTCCTTCGGGTCGATGTTGTACTTCTCCAGCAGCGACTGCACCGCTGTTGTGTGGCGGTTCGGAGATTAAAAAAGTTAGGTCGACCTAACTTTTTAACTCCTATCAGTTCGTTGGCGCACCGGTGAGACAGATGGAGTTGATGTCCTCGCGATCGCCGGTGAAGGCCATGCTGGTCTGGCCCAGGCCCACGGTGTACTTGCCCGCAGCCACGCCGTCGTGCGTCTCTGTGTCGACAAAAATAAAATACAAATAAATAAAAGGTGATAAGAAAATAAGTATTTGTTTGATATTGCGTCAACGGTTTCATACAGAAAAGACCTAACATGTTTCCGGCAACATGTTCCACCAAAAAAAAAGAGCAAATAAAATGAATAAAAAAATGGAAAGCGAAAAGATGGGAAAAAAAGATGAGAGCGAAGATGAGGATGATCGAGTGCGTACCGAGGTCGGCCTGCGAAACGTAGGTGGAGGGGAAGTAGACATCAAGCGCGACGATGCCCACATCACGCGGGTAGTGCGAGAAATCGGTCGCCACACCGCGCCTGGCCGACGTGGTGGGGGAGGTGGCCAGCATGGTAGCGATACCTCCGCGGCCGCACGCCGTCGTGGTAGTCGTTGCGTTGACGCTGCGCAGAACTCCGGCAATGGTGGCCGAGCGGCGCGTGGCGGTGGCGAGGGTGGCGAGCGTAGACTGGCGGCGCATAGTTTAGTTTGGTTTTTTTGTTCGTGAACGAGAAGAGCTGGTCTGTTTTCCTGCCGGGGGTGACGAAAGCAGAAGGAGTGGAGCGTGTTGTGTGAGGTCAGGTGTGGTGCGTGGTGACGGACACTTTAGGTCCGGCAAAAAAGTTTAGTTACCGGAGGCGAGGTTAGGTACCGGCGGCGTTTGGCTGTGCGAGCGGGTGAGTGAGTGGTTGACAACAGACAGAGAAAACAGTAATACAAGAAGGACGCCAGGCGTCGGTTGTATAAATGGTAGATAATTATAAATTGAATCAGAAAAAGACAGACAAATTGTGTGATAGGGCCGCATATCCAAGCACCGCTTCGCTTCGTGTGCCGGTTGGTCCATAACCAGCCTCTTGGTCCCAAGCACCCACCCGCTGGCCACCACCCAATCCGCACTGCGCATCGTGGAGGTTGGGCTCCAGTCTCCGTCCCTCCGTTTTGGCGCCAAATCCTTTTTTCTGTGCCCGTTTGTCTTTTCGTCCAATCACAGCCGCTCAACCATCTTAACACCTCGCCCCAATTCGTCAATAGCAACCAACACGAGGGGCAACCGTGTGTCGTGCTCTGTGCGGCCGACACTGAGTAAAAATACTAATCCTCTATTTTAATATGGTGTTGCGTGCGGTGCGTGTGTGCGGTTGGGTCCACTGGCAAAACAGCCGCAGCAGCTCACGGCGCGGGCAGCCTGGCCACGTCCCACAGGCAGTAGGTCTCGTCGCTCACCGCTTGGTCCGGCGCCAGCGGGAGATAGGTCGGGTCCTTGAAGATGCGCGCGAACGGCGATCCCTCGCATGGCATCTCCAAACGCAGCGGACCTGTGCACAATACAACACAACTCATTCAGACACACCGCACGCGTGTGCCATGACGCCACACGACACGACACGACACGACACGCACCTTCGAGGGCCTGGACGAGGAGGACGAGCGAAGGGTAGCGGTGCTCGTTGTCGAGCACGAAGCCCTGGCCGCAGCCGAGGGGCTGGAGGAGGCGGTAGCTGGTGATGCCGGCCGTGGCCGACACGCACGAGAGGGTGAAGGCGCCCGGCTGGCTGCTGTACCGCACCAGGAACGAGCCCACGCCGCCCCGCGTCAGCTTCTGCTCGGCCTCGGGCGAGCTCAGCACCCCGTGGAACCATCTGCTCACCCCGGCGGACCGCACACACACACGACACGACACGACACACAGGTGAGGAATGTCAAGAACGCAACGCGCCTGAAGTGGTGGAATTCGCGTACGGTTGGGCGAGGGTGGTGAGAATGCGGGTGAAGAGCTGCGACGTCGGTTCGGGGGTGGTGGCCGACGCGGAGCCGCTCGGCGCCGAGTCCTTGATGGGGCCGAACCACTCCACGAAGCGGTTGAAGGCCTCGATCGTCACCACTTCCCGACCCTCACCGAACGGCTCCTTCACAGCTGCACGCGTGTGTCGTGTGGCATGCGTGTGCGTGTGTGCGTGTGTCGTGTGTCGTGTCGTGCGGTGAGACACAGCCACCTTAACAGAAAAGGCGGGATCGCGTTGAAATGTGTACCGAGGAGGGCCTTGAGGCACTTGTAGGCGAGGTCGTCGGGCGAGGCGTGGGCGCCGATGGGGCCGCCGTGGCCTCGGCCCTTGAGGTACCGCACCTCGTCCACGTCGTACACGCTCGGCAGCGGCGTCTCGTCCAGGTACTCATACAGCGCCCGCACAAAGTCCACCCACGTCACCACATACTACTCCCCACGCCACGTCAGCACTCTACACGCCACACACGTAGCCAATCGCTAGCGCGCGTGTTGTTGATGCGGTGTGTTGATGTGTTGATGTGTTGATGTGTTGATGTGTTGATGTGTTGATGTGTTGATGTGTTGACATGTTGATGTGTTGATGCGTTGATGTGTTGATGTGTTGATGTGTTGATGTGTTGATGCGTTGATGCGTTGATGTGTTGATGCGTTGATGTGTTGATGTGTTAATGTGTTGATGTGTTGACATGTTGATGTGTTGATGCGTTGATGTGTTGGTGTGTTGGTGTGTACCTCCTTGATGAAGTAGCGCATCCAGAAGCGACAGGCGGAGAGCTCGGAGATGGCAGCCTCGACGATGATCTCGTCGAGCACCGAGTTGATCTCGTCAAAGTCGGGCCGGTTCTCGGGGTAGGCGTCCCAGCAGGACTCGATCAGCTGTCGCAGGTGCGTCGGGCAGTCGGCCGGCAGGGGCGGTCGCTCCTCGTCCTCCACCACCGCACGCACGAACTCGGTGTAGTCCGAGTGGTGCGGGAACGGGTCCTTCATCGCACACACGCACACGCGACCGCACACGCACACACGCACACACAGATGACACCAGTAAGAGACCGCACACGCACACGCAGATGACTGAAAGAGACGGTACCTTGCCGGTGAGGATCTCCCAGAGGACGATGCCGAAGCTGTAGACGTCGGCCTTCTCGTCGAACTCCTCCTGCATCATCACCTCGGGCGCCTAGGTGCGAAAGGCGGTGAGAGAAGTGTGTGTGCGTGCGTGCGTGCGTGCGTGCGAGCGAGCGTGTGTGTGCGTGTGTGCGTGCGTGCGTGTGCGTGCGTGCGTGTGAGCGTGCGCAATATCGCGTGTACGGCGTGTGCGGTCGGGTGTGTGCGGTGGTGGGTACCATGAAAAGGGGGGTGCCCTTGGCTCCGCCCTGGTCCTTCATGGTCGAGGTGGGCTTGATCGCGCTCAGCCCAAAGTCGCACACCTTCACCTTGTACGAGGTCTCGTTCTTGTTGTACTGTTTGTTGTTGTGTTCCATTAGCCCACCGCACACGACACACCCCACAGAACACACCAAACGACACACGACACGCGCGACGCGTGTGTGTGCGGCGGTGTGGGCGAGTACCAGGAGGTTGGCGGCCTTGAGGTCGCGGTGGATGATGGGCGGGTTGGAGCAGTGGAGCCAGTTCACGCCCAGCGCGGCGTCCTTGGCCATGCGCATCTTCTCAAACAGCGAGAACTTGAGGCCGCTCCGCTTGATCAGCGTGTCGAGGTCGCCGTGCATCAGCTCCGTCACGATCTTGAACTGGCCCGGAATGGTACAGGCGCCCATGAACAGCACGATGTTGGGGTGCGGATTGGCGCTCATGATCTCGACCTCGGTGCGGAGCAGCTGCAGCTGGGCCTCGTCGAGGTCCTGCAGCTGGACCAGGGGTATCTTGACCGCGACGTCGTTGGCGCGGCACACGCCGCGGAACACGGCGCCGAAGCAGCCGTCGCCAAGCTTAGCGCCGAGCGAGATCTCGTCGGGCTGGATCTCGGCGCCGGCGGCGGACCGCACGTGGACCAGGGCCGCGGCCGTGGAGTATTCGCCCGATTGGCCGCCGGCGCTCGCGGGGTATTTAGTGGGGCTGCCGCTATTGGGCGAGCGACTGCCTCCGCGGCCGCCGGTGGCCGCGGGCAGCGAGGGCGTCTTGCCGGCGAGGACCTGCTTGAGGATGGCGACGTTGTTCTGGATGGCGCCCTTCCACTCGGCCCCGAGGGCCTCGAAGCCCAGCGTGTGCTCGTCGCCGCCAAAGGTCTTGATCCACAGCTCGGTCGTCGTCGCCTTCATGTCCGTGACCGTCAGCAGCAGCACCGCCGTCGACCAGCTCAACGCCTACACTCACGCAAATTGTTATTATTAATTGAAAATTGGCATTTTTTCATGAATCATTTTATAAAATAATCAAATGCATAAAAACAATGAAAAGAAAGAAATGGTACCTTGGCGCTGTGGAAGAAGCGGAGGGTGTACTCGTCGAGCTCGCACCAGGCCTTGGTGCCGTTGTGCTTGACGCACCCGCGCTTGAATCGGATCAGCTTCTCGTCGGTGATCAGGTGCCTCTGCTTCCTCAGCCGCTTCATGTTGCCCCACAGCGCCACAGCCCACTCCAGCCTGCAAACCCCATGTGTGTGCACGCACGTCATGAGAATTCAGCACACACATATGACCGCACACGAACACGCACATGCACAAAAACACGACCGCACACGCACACGCACACGCACACGCACCACCGCACACAACGTACCGGTTGATGTCGCTGGCGGGCTTGAGGGAGGAGATGTTGTAGCCGGAGAGGACCCACATCTTGGAGCCGCCGTCGCGGTTGAGCACGATGCTGTCCGACTCCAACGTCACCTCGCTCTGCGCCAGATCCAGCGTACAGACCGGCTTGGGCGACTGTCATCACCGTACAATTAGCGTGTGTCGTGCTGCGTGTGCGGTGTGCGTGTGCGGTGTGCGTGTGAGTGCGGTGGGGGGGGACACGCACGTCAGGTTTTTCAAAGCACGACAGCACGAGGCCGCCCACCTGCACCCAGGCGGGCATCGGCTCGTCCCGCCCGACAGCGACCGACAGCAGCCCACGCTTGTACCGCACGGGCCAGTTCTCGGCCAGGCTCTGGGCTCTGCCGGCCAGCTCGTCCACACTTAAGGGCTCTGCTGGCGTGGCATCCTCCATCGCCTGGCTCGCCAGGAATGCCTCGTAGACCGCGCGCAGGCCGGGCTGCTCGAGCTTGCGGTTGTGTTCGATGGCATCGAACAGGTCGATCAGGAACGTGTCGGCGCCCGGCGAGCGCGAGTCGAGCGTCGACAGGCTTATGTAGGAGGTGAGGTTGTCGGGCGTGGTCACCACCAGCCGATCGTTCATCGCGTCAGGCGAGCACTTGATGTCCCCTATGTGCCACGTCACCCTATGGAATGTGCGGAATGCAACACGCGTTAGAGTGTGTGTCGTGTCGTGTCGTGTCGGTGGTGCCGTGGGTAGAGAGCGTACACTTCGGTGGCGGCAGAGGTGGTGCCGGGGGAGGAGGTGGAGCAGGTGAGGTGCTTGCCGTAGAGCTCGACGATTTGGGAGCCGCCGCGGGTGCCGCGCGGCAGTCCCACACTGTTCCACGCCTTCTGGACGAACCGGTCCTGGGCGCCCCCGTGGCTCAGCACATGGTTGCGCTGGATCGCGAACAACCTGCCAATCACCCGCGCCAATCATCAGCCTCCCAGCCCACTATATAGTGTGGTGTTGGCCACATATTACACTGAGCACTACGAACCATGAGCGCTGTTCCTCCTGGGTCTCGGCCGAGATCTGGTACACGCGCTTGTCGGTGTGCAGCTGTATGTTGAACTTGGATCGCTTCTCGTTCTTGTCGCTCGGGGTGGACGTCACCTTGAACACCCCCCATCAATCCGTTTGGTCATTGTATGAACTGAAGTGCGGGGGGGGGGCTGTAGTGGTACCTGTGTAACCTTCATGAGCTCGATCACATCGATCGGCACCACGTCCTACACTCGTTTATACAACCAAACGTAAAAACATAACATTACATATCACCAACATCAACATCAATCATGATGAGAGTAGACATAGTGGTGGGGGGGGGTTGGATGAGAGAGGAGATAGAACCTTGCGGGCCTTGCAGTAGCTGATGGTGCTGTTCTCGAGGCTGAACCATCTGCGCTTCCAGCCCTTGTTCCGGTTACCCTGCTTTCGGAGGAAGCCCTGCTTCGTCATCGCGCCGTCCTTCCCGCCGGCCCGAAAGTCGTAGAGCACATCGAAATCGACCTTCTTCCGCCTCTTCTCCGACTCTGGCGCGGCCTGGGGCGTCAGCGTAGACCTCATGCTACGTCGCTATTTCAACAAGAGCTTTCTTCTTCTTCTAAGATGTCCCCTCGATGTTTGTTGCTGTTGATTGTCTGGCCTCAATGTGGTCGTGCGGGCTGGCCTCGGGTGCTGTTGGCCAAAAGGGCATAGCCCAAAAACAGACAAGGAATGTCAGGCACCTCGAGAAGCGGGCAAATTCCGCCGCCAGTCGTGTCGCGTGACGCAGGCACTTTAGCTTAGTGGTAGAGCGTCAGTCTTGTAAACTGAAGGTCATGGGTTCAATCCCCATAAGTGCCTCTTTTTGGCTTGCCTGGTCGTGGTGGGCGCCAGTCACAGTGCTCGTTCTTTTTCTTGACCATTTGGGTCTCGGCGGGAGCTCACCAAACTCGCGTGTGTGAGTTGTGGTTCGTGGTTCGTTGGCCGCAGTGAGAATTGTGAAAAGCGGTTCTCTGCCGCTTTTTCCCTTTTCTCTTTCTTTTTTGCCAATTTCGTTTTTGTTTGATTTGTGTAGCACAATATTTATTTCCTCCACCGCTATGCTGCGACGCGCTACTGCCATCACCACCACCACCGGTGGTGCCTCCTCCTTCCGCCGCTCCTCCTCGGCTGCCGTGCGTCGCCTCGCTGCGGCACTGCCGCCACTACGCGGCCTGCGCGCCCTCCATTCATCGCCGGCCGCCCTCCGTGCCGCCCCCGCCCTACGTACGTGTCCCTCTGCTCCTCCGGACCACCCACCAGAGTGACGTGGCATGACGTGTCCCTGTTTTTCCGTGCGTGTACGTGTGCGGTGTGCGTGCGTGTGCGTGCGTGTGCGGTGGTGCGGTATTGCAGTGCCTCGGCTCGGGTTGGTGGAGCGGGCAGTGGGCCACAGGCAGCGGACGGCCGTGGTGGCCCCGGCCGACGCCGCAGTCGACAGCACGGCCAACCACGGGAGCGCTCCTACGGCCGCCTGCTGGCCGATGCCACCGCACTCGCCGGGCACCTCCGCCAGCTCGCGTACGACACACACGCCCACCGCACACGCACACGGCACACGGCACGCACGGCAAGTGTGTGTGCGTGCGGTGATTGACTGGGGCGCGTGTCGTGCGGCACACGCAGGGGAGTGGCGCCGGAGAAGGACATGAAGGAGGGCCGCGTGGCGTTCTTGTGTCCCGCCGACTACTCCTACGTCGCCACCCAATGGGGCATCTGGGTTCGCCATCATCATCACCACCACCGTCATCAACTTCATCACCAAATTCACCACCACTACCTTCATCACCATAATCACCACCACCACCTTCATCACCACCATCAACTTCATCAACTTCATCATCCTCGTTACATTATTCTCACTCTTCTGCTGCTGCTGCTTCTTCTTCTTCAGAGCGCCGGTGGCGTGGCGGTGCCGATCGGGGTGCATCACCCGGGGCCCGAGGTGGAGTACGTCATCAGCAACAGCGAGGCGTCGGCC